CTTAGGATTGGCAGCTTATTTTTCCTCCTTGTCACGTTAGCTGGCTTTCTTACCCTTGCTTTGACTGCAGAATAGATGAAGCGTTCCATCATAGGGCTTTACTGTAGGGAACTTGGAAGGGCAAGCTGTTGGCCATGGCTCTGAGATTAGGAAATATTTGAAACAGAAATTCACAGTTTGTGTTTATTGCATGCATGTGTTCACATATCAACATGCGTTCCCTCATGTCTTGCCTTCTTCTTGCAGTTCCCACGTTTGTTTCTTTCCTGAAGGAAGTGGAGTCTCCCTATGAGGTCCATGATTACATCAGAGCCTATCTTGGAGATACTCCTGAAGCCAAGGAGTTTGCCAAGCAGTTTCTTGAGCGCCGTGCCAAACAGAAAGCCAGTCAGCAGCGGCAACAGCAGCAGCAACAGGTAAATCTTACTCGCTGCGGTCCTTGGGAGCATACAGAGAGAGACTGTATTTGAGTCCGAAGAGTCTGCATTTCTGCGGGATTGATAGGAGCCTGCCCAGGATTTTACAGGTTGTGTGAGATGCAGAGAATAAAGCAGATTTCAAATATTTACTGCAAAATCAAGTTTCCTTTATAACTGACGGTTGAGGCCAACTGTAGATCAAATGGTGTCTTAGCGTGCTGATCCTGGATACGCTTGAAGGATGGGGTGGCTGTGTTGGATGGATGTGTCACACGTGATGTAGAAAGTGCTTTGGGCTTTCTGAAGTTTTCAATTTAAATAAACCAAGCTTAATTACACTTATAATCTTGCACTTGCTTTGTTTGTTAGGATTCGGTGTGGGGGATGAACCACAGTTCGCTACATTCGGTCTTTCAGACCAATCAGAGCAACAACCAGCAATCCAATTTTGAGGCTGTGCAGAGCGGGAAGAAAAAGAAGAAACAGAAGATGGTTCGCGCAGATCCCAGCTTGTTAGGTCAGTTTTAATGTTTAGAATTCAAGGTTTAATTTGGGAAAAACTTGGTGGAGTGTACAATTCTTGTTAACCTTAAATGGGACTGTTGAATTTGAGCAGAAAAGGTAGTTGAAGTGTCTTTGGAATTTGTTTCAGTATTATTATTTAATGATGTAAAAAATTCTGTATCGGTTTCACGGAAAACTTTTGTCAAACTTTCCCTCATGAAAAGGCTTCTTCATTACCTTGGTTGTTACCTGGAAACCTTTCAGTAGTTCAGGGATGTCAGTTGAAGTGCCTTTCCGCTCCAGAGTTGCCCTATGCCTATTTTATTGATTTAATGCTTAGTCATTCTTTTAAGCAAAGCATATATTCTGTTTCTTCATGAGAAACAGCTTCTTGACTTGCCTTTATTCCTTCCTACCTTTTTGCATGAGCCAACTACTCTCACCAGAAAAGGTGGCAAAGATCTTGGAGGCGGGGGGGAGCGGAGAGTGAAGAAGTGGTCACAAGTTTTCAGCGGGAGGCAGTGGAGATGGTGACACCATTAGTAGTCCTTATTTATTTATTTATCCTCAGTTTTTATGTGAGGATGGTAGTTAACCAGTCCCGATAGCATTGATAGAAAGGTTTTTTCAAGTGGCCTTTAAGATACAAGGGCATCGTGAGTACATGAGTAGAGAGCCTTGTGGGATGTAACGCGTCGCTGTAGTATTCCTGTGGAATAAATGTGTGCACATCGTGCTGTGTGCGGTAAAAAGGGAACCGGGGCACTGCCCTGGGCCAGTATTTGTTGAGCTGGTGCTCCGTAGCTCGTATTCGTGTAAAGCAGCCTGGCATTAGCCACCTGGAAGTCACATTTTTTTTAAGGCTCTAACAGAGCCCTCTGCCTTTGTTCTTTTATCTTCCCTTTCTGTTCTCAACAAAATCGATACTCTTTAATTCAGTGATTTCTGCATTGAAGTATACTGGACTTCTCAGTGGAATCCCGGCTTGTGCCAGTCCACTGAGTCTGATCTGGGTCTTCAGTTGAATAGTTTAAAAACTAGCTCATCTAATGTGAAGAAGTCACTTCAATACAATTAAGAAGTTGCAACTGTAAGAGAAGTAGCACATGTGGCTTCTTAAAAATCAGTACGCTCTTACTACAAAATAATTCCAAAACGTTTTAGTTAACATACTGCCACGAGAGGGAGCCAGAACAATTTTCTTAAACCTGCTGATCAGTGCACCTTTTATCTGTTGGAGATAATGACTGTGAAAAGCAATTTGTTTTCTAGCACAGAGCAAGCCTGCCTAGGAGTCTCAAGACAGTCAAATGTCAGGTTTGTGTTTAGTAGCCTTATACAGGAAAACTTCCCTTTTTCTCCTACACCATATGGGCTTGGTACAACCATAGAAATTGGATGGATTTCAGTAGGAAAGTTGCGTATGATATAATGGATTTTTTTCCTCGTAGAAAATGCTTTTTCTCAGACTTTTCTCAGATGCATCATGTCCTCAGCAATTACGGTTTAAAGGATGGGTAGATGTTTAAGTGCATCTTGAGCCATCTGCATAGCCCCACATAACTGTACATTTTCATGTTGTACTCCTGAGATAGGAGGTTGTAAAAAAGCATGGAAGTACACTGAATTGCCACTCGATTTCATAGGTGCCTGTATTTAGACTTTTAAAGTAAGGGCAAACCCAAACTGCTCACAGCCCCTCAAGTGTTGAGCCTGATTTCACACTGGGATTCTGAGTTGACAAAAGGTGCATTTCAGCCTCTTGGATCATGTAAGTACCGTGTTGCCAGGCACCTCCAAGCACCAGTTGTGACACTAAACGTGCTGCCTTCCACGACGCTGCTGTGCCTGGATGTGCCTCTTACTACCTCTGCAGATGGTGCTGCCTTTGAAATGAAAGTTGAGACCACGCTGCTGCTGGTCTGTTTTTAAAGACCAAGGGATACTTAGCTAAATGTACAATTGATTATCTTTGATTTATTCGGGGGGGGGGGGGGGGGAACAACCCAAAAAACAGTTTTGATAATTATGTCTCCAACCTTACTGAATTTCCCCCCAGGTTTTTATTTGATGTGTGTTATTTGCTTTACCTTACACATGCTACTGCATGTATCAGAGGTATTGCATCAGATACAATATACCATGTCCAGATTTTTAACAGAAGTCCTTTTTGATTTACAGGGTTTTCAGTGAATGCCTCATCAGAGCGGCTCAATATGGGAGAAATAGAGACTTTGGAAGACTACTGAGCATGTGCAAATCAACTGGCTTTTCCTGCATCTGTTAACCATGGATTCTCCGTTCTGGACACAGTACTCTCCACCATGCGCTCTTCTTTGCCTCGCAGTGAATCACAGAATCAATCATCTCAGGCTGCTTCCTCTAGCCCCAGCAAACCCTTTCTGCCCAGGACTGCACAGGCGTTGTTCCTACTGTCAGCCTAGAGTTGAGTGGACTTTGTTCAGAGTCCTGGGAGGGTGGGAGATAGGATTCGTTCACAACAAGGCTGATTTGGGCAGCAAGCTTTCACTGTGCTGTGATTTCTTCTGCTGACATACCTGGAAAAAAAAAAAAAATCAATTGGGATTCTGCAAACCATTGCTTCCCTCTCCTGGTTACTCTTACCACATCTAACACGTGCAGTCATGGAGAGAGAGAGAGAGAGAGAGAGAGTTTGTGGTTAACAGATGTTGGTCAAAACCAAAATGCCACACAGATACTGACTTCCGCGCTCCATCAGGGCAAGAGGTGCTCTCCCGGGCCAGGAGTTGCATTCATAAGCTAACCTTAGAACTGGCAACAGCAGGAGAGGGGCGGTGGCGGGCGCAGTTTAGCTTGGGTTGGTTTGAAGTTGCACACCCCCTGCCAGCCCTTCTCAGCACATTATTTCTGGAGGGAAAGCTCGAGTCTGTCTTCATTAGGTGGTGATGCTGAAGCTGGTGGAGTTCCCCGTCGGCATACTCCAGCCTTCCTGGACAAGTGGGGACTTCTACTCTGGGAAAAAAAAGGGGGTGGCATCTCTTCTTTCAGGTTGAATTTATCCCTTAAATGCTACCTTCGGAGGGTTAGGACCAGTTTATTTTGAGCTCTTTTCCTGGAAATTTGTCTCGTTTAAGAGACAGTAGGATCTTTACCGTGTGGATCTTTAGTCTTTGGTGAGGGTGAACACTGGCTTTCTGATATACACCCCAGCAGTCTTAGGTAGTTGTCATTTCAAGCAGTGCTTAGGTTACCGAGCAGAGATGCCCTTTTGTCATGAAGAGAGACTGTGGAGGGCGAAGCTATGTGCAATGACGGCCCTGCTTATCTTCTACACCTTCAAACTATTTCACGCACCTTCACTGGGATCCATAATCTTTAAGTATTTATGGCATCATAACCTTCCTCTCTCACCGAAAGATTAACACCGCCTTCCCTTCTCCACCCACCCACATGCACACACCACAAAAGGAGGAAACCGAAAACTGCCAAATACACTTAGTTTCAACCCACTGGTCCCATCTCCCATTCCCAGAGGGTTATAACCTGCCAAGGGAGATACGCTACAGTTTTGGTGGAGATGTATAAAGGTGTCTGTTGTTCTGTCATCACTGCCTAAAGAAAACAGTTCGAGTTGCTCAAGAGCAGTTTGGCTTTGGATTTTATTTTGTTTGGTTTATTCATTTTTTGGGGTCACCCTTCCCCCCCACCCCTCCTCCTCTCTCTTCCCCCTGCCCCCAAACATGTACAGTAACTATACAGAGACTGCTGCAGACTTGTATATAGTTTTTGGATCCAATAGCATGGAGAGACTTGGAACTGTTGCAAATCTGGTCTCCCTGTCTCCTTTGCTTTGTAAATTCATAAAAGGGGGAAGAGGGGTAGTTAAAATGTTTACAAAACTTTAAACTCCCTCTGAACTTTTGCCAGTGTGGGGGGGGGGGGGAAGAGAGAACTAAATAAAACCTGGTTGTATTATATCTGAGAGAAAACTTTCTGCTTGCTTTTGTCAAAGCTGAGTTTTAAGATAATTCCTGGTGCTAAAACTGACCCAAAACTCGACTCGCATCAGTTTTCATCAAGAAACAACAAGCAGATACACAGGATGTGGAACAACAACTGCTGCTTTATTTCTTCCCTGGTGAGGAATCCTGGTGCGTTTTTTCTACTTGATAATTTTAGAGTTCAAATAAACACCAGTAAGTTGAGATTGGAAAATTCTGACAAGAAAGCTTTAATTCCCACCCCCCTGTACAGAAACACGTGCATTCATGCTCGTGGTGTTTATGCAGGAGGGATCGAGCCACGGCTGGTTTGTTGTTCGTACAAACACTCGGCCGTGGAGCCTTTTTTTGCCAGTGGGTAACCACCCCGCCCGCTCCAGTTCCCTTCCCTAAATGAGAGATTTTATTTTTCCCCTCGGCATAAAGTCCACACGGACACCTTGTAGGCTTCCCTTTTTAGACCAATTTTTAATTTCCTTTTTTTCTACTCGCTGCTTATTTTTGTGTGGAAAATCCCGGTAAAAGTTAATGATAAATGTCTAGCATTCCCGTGACCACAAAGATGATGAAGTCAGTATACTCGGATTGAATTTACACGGTAGCTTCGCGTTATGTTGAGCTGATGTCTCGGAGAGAACAGTACATGTTTAGGCTGATAATTTGACTTTGTTTTAATATTTATTTATTTATTTTTCTTAGTATATAAGGTGTCTGGTTCATAAGTACTTTCTGGTTTTTAATGGTATGATCTAATTTCTACAAGCTAATTTTGGACTGCTCTATATACTGTGTAACAAATAAGCAAAATCCTGTTGGTTTCCAGCTCAGCTGGGGAGCAGGAAGGTAACAATGCCTCCGTTGCTAAATGGAAATGCAGAATTGCAAGCAGGGAAAATGTGCAATAATCTGTCGAACCCCGAGGACCTTGCTCAGCTTCTGAGAGTATGTAGATAATGGACCAGTGGGGAGGATCTTGTTCCTAATATTTCAATATTCTGGTTACTGTATTTAGTACAAAGGTAAGATGCTGGCACGTTCAGGTTGTGTGCTCAGGTGACTGCCTGGTCTACGGGGCCTGTTCCTGTAGCGACGGTCATTTGGACCAGTAGGGATGGGAAAAACAGGAGCTACAGCTTTGTGTCTGCTGCTGGGGACGTATTTATGCACCAGGTCCTTTTCAGACAGGACGTGGACCTGGAAAGCTAAGGGGGCTTTGATCCAAGTGTGACCGATGATGTTGAAGTTGATGCTGGAGATGTCTGAGGTTTCTTCTGAACGCGTTTCACCAGGTTATTTCCTAACTTCTCATTTTGTGGCGGGAGCAGAGCTCAGTCCTTTTTGTTTTTCCTGCTCCCCCTCGCAGGCAGGCACTTGTGCAAATCACGGCAGCAAGCAGAATGATTTAAAAGAACACCTGGACTGTATCTGGCTGCCTGTTGGAGAAAGCCAAAAAGCAAAGAGATCTCTTAGCAGAGAAATCTGAAATTTAAGACAAAACTACTCGTGTCCTATTTTCAGATCATAAAGAACTGGCATTGGGGGTGTTTATGTACTTGATGACATCTTTTTCTGAACAGCAACCGAAGTGGTTCATCCTCGTATCGACTTAAAATCCTAATGAAATTCTTCTGTCCTCTTAACATTAAGCTGGAGTGTTCCCCTTTCCCTACACTTCATCCGTTCCCAAGTCTCCATCGGTGCAAATGTGATTTGACCCAAACCTCAGTTTTCTCTGCTGTGACCTTTTCACGAGCCCGCTGGGAGGGGAGGGGAAGAGCGGCAGAGGGTCGCAGGAGGAGGCTCGGACCCGAGGAGGAGGATGCTGGCCCTGCCTGGCACAGGCGACTCTCCTGGATGACTTACCAGATTTTAACAGGCAGTTCTGCCAGCGGAGACCACCCACAGCTCCTAGTCCACCTCCGTAAGTATAACCCCCCCCCCCCCCCCCCCCCCCCGAAAACAAGGCTGCCACGGAGCCACTCTGGCTCCGTTTCAGAGCGTTTTAGCCTCAAAAGATTGAGGCCCTTGTTCCTGGGCCGGCCACCGGCCGCCCTGCGCGGCGAGGAGGGAGCGAAGCCCTCGAGCAGGGGGCTGCTTGGCTTCGGGGTTACCCGCCCCAATGGCTCCTGTGTCCTCCCCCGTGCCAGGGAGGGCATTCCAGGAGCGTCCCCGCGTCCTCGGGGAAGGGCTGCCCACCGACCGCTCCTGCGTGCGCTGGCCTGGCAGGGTGACGGGTGCCTAACGGCTCGGCTGCCTATGGGGTGTTAGGTACAAATTTGAGAGGGTGGAGCTGCCTTCGGGAGGAGGTGTGCTCTGGAAGTCAGAGAGAGTGAGTCTCTGCCGGGCTTTGCACTCACTCTATCCACTTGCTATTGTGAAAGGAATTTTTTTTTTTTATTTTGCCTTTTTTTTTTAACCTGACTGGACAAAATTTTTATTATACCAGTGAAATTTCCAAGTTGTTTCATACTTTGAAGAGTTTTAGGAATTCCTGCCAACACTTTTCCTGAGGGAAGCCATGCCCTACCACAGAGTCCTTCGCCTGGTCCTGCTAACGCTGTGCGGCGTCCTGTTCCCTGCTGTGCTGGCAGGTAAGGAGCTTTGTTTGCATTTAATGCCCAAAAGCACGGGCAGTCTTTTGCTAACTTGCCTCTCTCTCTCCTTGCATACCTCCTCTCCCTCCCCTAAAAATGTCTATATTGACTTGTAATTGATTAATGGAAACTTCCTTTGGAATTGGTGGCTGGTAAGAATATATTCTCTGTCCCAAGACCAAGTTTCTGTTGCAGGAAAGGAAGAAAATCCATTTGTAATTTTTCCTAAGCAGAAGAGCAGTGGCACCTGCCTGAGCGTAAGCGGCAGCAGATCAGGAGGCAGATCAGGCAGCAGTAGATGATGTGCTCTCAGCAGCCGACGGGACAGGCTGTCTGTCAGCTTTTAATGGCAGGAAGAAGTTAACAGTCGTGACAAGAAACATTTTCCTCTGGCTGAAGCTCGTGTGCCAATTTCTGGTTCCTTCTGTGCTTTCTGCTGCAGCAGAGCCCTTCCCCACAGCTGCCCTAAGTGGAAACGCGGCGGTGCCTGTGGAAACATTTAGCTGGGTCGAAAACCGAGGTGGGCGCCTGAGCGGGGCCGGGGCAGCGAGGCGGCGGCAGCGCCGGGCGTACGTACGTGGTGCTGACTCGAGTTCAGCCAGGTGGTGGGAGCAGGAATAGGTGAGACGCCGGTGCTGTCAGGCGCTGGTTTTTAAGGAGATAGTTGGTAATCTCAGCCTCACCTGCTCCCGCCTTTAGCACCCCTGTGCCGGCCGAGGGGAACCGAGGGCAGAGCCGGCTTCAGAGGCTGGAACTGTCTGGGGAGCTGCTCCCCTCAAAGCGTTTTTCTTTACATGGAGGCGAGGCTGAAGGGATGGCTCAGGCCGAGATAACGGGCAAGAACACAGCTTGTTTTGCTGGATTCCTGTCCTGCCTTCCAAGACCCGGAGCAAGGCTGGATCGCAGTTCCCTCCCAGTTTGTTCTGAGCATCTTGCCTAGCAGAGAGATCCTGACCAGCCATCCAACAGACTAAATTATTTATTTTTAAAGAGCTTTCATATGGGTAGGGGAATTTATCGCTGTGACTAGCTGGAACATCTGTGGGTGCAAGAACGTAATTCCTGTAGCTGCTGTTTCCCCCACAGATCCTCCCCATGCCCATGTAGGATGCCTTCTTGCTGGGAAGCCCTTAAAGTAACCAAGAAATGAGCACTAAAGTGGATGTTTTCCTTCTCAAATGCTGAGCTTTGATTTTTGTTTAGTGGAACACTAACTGCTTAAGCACAGTTTCAGTTTGTAGCTTGCTCCTGCTCCCAGAAGCAGTGGCAGTGCTCTTCCCCCCAAAACAGGTAAGGTCTTTCCTTGGCTGTTGGCAGTATTTCACTCTCTGCACAAAAGTGATTCATTTCCAGTAAAAATCTGCTTCCTCTCTGAGCTAAGATTTCTTTTACACTATTTTAAGTTTCCAATATTTGCTACATATTTGCCCTGCCCCGCGCCTTGCCAGCTTTCCTGTGTACTTGCTGTCGGCTCGGCGGTCTGTACGTGCTGCTGCCTCCCTGTGTCACTTTGCTCCTGTGAAATACTCCCAAGTTCACTTGATGCCTTCAGCGGGTGAGTTGGGCTCGTGCAGCGAGGCCGGTGACTCTGGAGGAGCTTTGTGCTGGTGAATGCAACATTCGGATGGATCCTGGGGCGTAGAGGAAGCACAGAGTCTCTCCTGTGGCACTTCAGGGGCTGGAGGCCTCTAAGAAGTTTGTTCTCAAAGCAGGACACGAGGGAAGCAGCCCCTATGGTAAGCCATCCCAGGAGCAAAACGATTTCCTGCTGCATTAGGAGTGGAGAGTTGCCTACCCTCAGTACAGCGGCTTTTAGTGCACAGTGGAATTTTTTTCTGCGTTTCACCCCCTTGGAAAAGGAAATTTCCTGCCTTGTGCAGACAAAGAAGGGAAGGGCACGCAGACAGCCCTCTGGTCTCCGTGCGTACACATGCAGCCCTGCCTTTCTGTAAACAAGTTTATTTAACATTCATCAGAACCGCAGCGCTCCGCGCTGCCCCGCTCTCGAGCTCCCGGCGCTCGCACATCACAGGCTGCCCTTTGTGCTCTCCATGAAGGCCTCTTTTCATCCCTGCCCTGGCCCTGCGCCCGCCGTGGCTACCTGGGGCTGGACAGCCCGTTGCTGGCCTCGGAGTTCACCAGCCCCTGCCCTCCCGTCCCGGTACCTCCTGCTTGCCGTAGCGAAGCCCTCGGCGGTGGCCAGAAGCGGAGTCCGCTCCGAGAGCGCTGCAGCTGATGCCGGCCAGGCAGTCCCGAGGTGCAGAATGAGTCTTCCCTTCCTCGCTGGATTTAATTTTATCAGAGAGGGGACTCGGAGCTACCTAGTACCAAAAGCTTTGGGTAGGTGCTCAGGAGTTCAGCCAGATGTGAAGGATCTCGCTGGCAGCTGAGGTTCCCGTCTGGGTGTAGCAGTTGGAGCGCTTTCGGGATGCTGGTGGGGTTGTGTACCTTGATCTGGCGTCTCGCCTGGCCAGTCTGGTTTCCTGGATGGCGCGGTCAAGGGCTCTGTGATGGGAGAAGGTGTGAATTTCTCCTTCAGGTTACTGAGCTCTGTCCAATATTCCCATTTGTCAAAGATGGGGAAACAACCAGCTGAGTCTTTAACCTTCTTTGTTCACATCATCAAGGTGCAGCAGGAAACAGAGCCAGTTCAAGGACTCTGCACACCCAAATCTCCTCCACTCCCACTTTCTCCAAACCCAAGTGGCACATAGGCCTAGAGCACAGGAGGATTGCAGAGTTGCTTTTTATTTTTTTCTATTGATCAAACCAGTTCCAGTTCATATAATGGATTCAGAGCTCCAAATGTGGTGGAAGTTAGTAAAAAGCCTTTGTGAGGCCTTGGCTTCTGAATCGTGTATATATTTGGCATCTAAACTCCCATGTGAGCTCGTGAATTTCCTTGTTTTGAGCTAATGTGGAAATACGTTGTACTGCAGTAGCATGTCAGAGTGTGTATAGGGGGGAAAAAGCAGCAGAGCAGGAGATGTTGTGCTAAGGGAAAAAGTACAAGAAAAGACCTTGTCCAAGGCCATCTTTCTGTAGCAACTTGTCATGTCTTCATTCTCAACTACACGAGAATAAAAGATTGTAAGGAAGCTTTTGAAGTTCAAGTACTAGAAGGTGAGTAGTAGTAAATGAGTGTTGTCAGGCACGTTTATTGAAAAGATGCGGTTGTTCCAACAGGTCTGTCCACACTTTCAGCAGGTCCTTGTAGACCGTTACTCAACCTTGCTCTGCATCAATACCCCTCATAAAAGACTGGCACTAGTATCAGCTCCCAACTGAGCTTACTGGGTTGGAGGTGGAGAGTGAGGATGATGAGGTACTGAAACCAGCTCGTATGAGGAAGGGTATTGGTCACTGGTGAGTGATCCCCAGGGATGAAGGTGTTCGGTGGCCCCATCTGCCTGCCTTGAGGCCTTGCGATCTGCCTGTGGGGAGGCTGTGGTTGTTTGGGGGTATCTTGAAGGATTCTCCAGATTTGATCAGCTTCCTCAAGAACCATCACTTGTGGAGACTCTTCCAGTCTTACCTTGCAGCCACCGTGTATCTGGGGCGCTGGCTACCATGTCACTCTGCTGGCAGCTCACCCCACCTTCTCACCGAGCATGGAAGCAGCGGTTTCATCAAGTCGCCTTTGGCATCGTCCCTTCTAGACCTCGCTGAAGTGCTGCTGGGTCCCTGCATCATTCAGAAGACTCACAGTGAATTTCTTTATTGCGTAGTGACTGATATTTTATCCCCTTTTCCTGGCCTCGGTTGTAACCAGCCTGTGCTGGAGAGAGGGGGAAGACAGTGCAGGAGAGATTTCCCTAAACATGTGGGAAGGAAGAGGTGCCAGCCTCCACCTGGCCTGTTGCAGAACACTGGGATACCTTCAATCCGTTTTTTGCCAGGTTTCATCTCTGCCCAGTAAAACCCCGATAACTTAAGACTGTTCCGTGCCTTTCTCTTAAGTGCTCTCAAACTATTTTTTACCAAGTGGGTTTCACTGGCAGCCTGTGGAGCACCAGTTGCCCTCAGTCTGTGCTCTAGTGCCCAGACAGGGTTAGTGCTGGGGGAGAGCTGCTTCGTGCCGTGGGGTCGAGCAGCGGCAGTGGTGGGGTCGCCCTGTGCTGTGTCAGCAGCCTGGTATCCCCTCCCCGTGCCCGCTGCCGCCTCCGGGGCGAGCAAACCACGCGAGTGCTCCGGGGGGTTTTCGTAGAGGTGGGACTGGTCTGAGGACTGATGCCAGCACAACTAGCGCGTGGCTCTCACCCGGATGTTAAACATCTGCCCTTGTGACAGATGATGTGTTTTGAGCGTGTTTCTTGGTAGTTATTTCTACAAATTTTTCAGGTGAACAGGAAAAGCAGGCGCTACCTTGCGTTTGATATTTGCTTTCCAACCCTCGGTTGCACCTACTCGCTCGAGATTGCAACGCGTTGGGGTTTTTCTCAGAAGCAGGAACGGCCGTGCCCTGCCCCAAGGCCAAGGGGGTGCCCTGTAACTTGCCCTCTCCCTGTGAAAGGCTCCGGCGGGTCAGAGGCGTTTGTTTGGGCACAGTGTTCCAGTCGGGACGACTGTAGCTGTGCAGGTGAGCAGGCCTGGCCGCCCCGGTGCTGCTGCTTTTGTGGGCTGTATTTAGAGTCCCAGCCTCCTGCTCACGCGCTGCGGGACTTGTGGTGGTCACACAAAACGTCAGCAGCAGAGCAGAGAGCTGAACCTCCTGAATCGGGTCCTACGCCTGTACGTGGAGCCTGTGCGGTCCGAGTGTATCCAACAGGCAACTGGGAGAGGCCCTCGTGTCATAACAATGTGTGAGAGTGGGTGGGTGGTGGTTTTTGGCACCTACCTTGAGCTCTGTCCTCCCGCCGCCCCCCCCCCAGCCTTCCTTGCTTTTACCAGAGGACTGAAATGGGAGCGTGGCATTTAATGCTGCTCCGTTAGAGACCTGCCGCGCTCAGCCTGGCAGCTCCCTGGGCCTGCAGGTGTGAATTTGGCTGTTAAGAAAACCCGCTGGATGCGCAGGGGGATAGTTGGATGGGTGGTTGGGCTTCTCAGACGGGTGGGAACAGAGGCATGTGAGGACAGGAGCTGGTTTAGGAGGGAAAATCAAAGGTGAGTCTTGGAAGGAAGAGCGCAGGTTACCAGCAGGCGCTCTCCCGGGCTGCAGCAGTTTGCTCTGGAGAGACCTGCCCGCTGGCAGCTTTCTTTGGGGACCATGCTTGCGTTTGGTTCTGTGTTCCCCCACCCCGTGTGCCTGCTGCAGGGCTCTCGGCATCTGCTCGAGCAGCATCGAGGTGCAGGGACCGAAGAGGAGACCCAGCAGTGAGCCCTGGCTCTCGGGGATGTTCAGATGCAGGTATTCCGCCTTTACGCGCGTGCACGACCCTGCTGCTGCTTCTGAGCTGACGGCTCCCGTTAGCGAGGCACTAGACCCGACTGGAAGGAGTTGTGTTTCCCTTGGTTGAAGCGCCGTTAAGGTAAAACCGCAAGAACTTGGGGCAGAAAACGCAGGTTTAGCACACTCTGCCCTTTCTGTCAGGGTGAACTGAAAGCGGGTTTTAATCAGATGAGGGGAATTAACAAAATACATACCCAGCGGCCCTCCAGGACTCTATCCAGGTCTTAAAAATCACTGAGATCATAAACAAATTAGGCTGCTTCCTCTTTACTTGGCTATCAAAAATAAGCTCTATGCCTCGCTTAAAGAGAGCGGCAATAAATTTTTCAGGGATTAGATGCACCAGGGGCAGGAGAGGCTTTCCAAGACCTGTGGGCTTGGTTAGAAAAAGAGCCTTTTGCACTAGGGCTGGAAGGGGCAGCGCTCCTTCCTTGTCTCTTTGAGAACAGGGAGGGGGGGGGGAAGACCCTGTCGAGGTCCCACAGCCCCCCCGGACGGCGCCTGCGTCTGTCCCAGATCACCTGAGCTAATGCCTTTCCCCCGGCCGGTGCGCGGGGGCGCACCCGGCTCTTCTGCCTTTGGAGAGAAAATCCATCCTGGGGAAACGCCGCGACGACGCCCTCGCAGCGTGGTGTTCCCTTTGCCAGAGGGGAGCGGCTGCAGCGTTGGTGCTGGCCCGGGTGGTGTTGACACAGTCAGGAGGGTTGTAGCTGGAGCGCAGCTCTTCTGCGTGGAGTTTCTCTACCTCCGAGGGCAGCCTGGAACCGGGGCTTCGAAAGCGTCACGTACGTTTGGTCTGTGCCTAAACCAACAGCTTCCTAACGCCACCCTTGCTAACTAAACAGCCTCAGCTCTGCTTGGTTCCTTTCCCTGTTGTTTTAACTACATTTATCCACTAAATTCTGTGTTTCCTCCTGGTCTGTCCTCTGGTAGCTAAACCACAGGATTTAGGGAAGAGAGGTCCACTGGCAATGGCACTTTCCGGAAGAGCCTCCGGACGGGACGGGAGTCTCCAGCTCTGCCGGCTTGTTTTGCAGGGCAGGATGGGAAGGGCCCTGCAAAGGGCTCAGGTGTTTCTGGGGTGCCCTCGGGGAGCACAAATCTCGTGTGCTCATTCCAGCGACCCACGATGCCGCCTGTGATGCAGCAAGCGCAGAGGTACCAAGCGTGAGGACGTGGTGTCCGCTCTTGCTCCCAGCTCAGGCAGCCTCAGGCCGGGGGTTTCTTTGTCTCTGTCACTGCTCGTTGGGCCAGAGTGAAACCTGGCAGCTGTCTCACTTAAAATCCTGCAGCTTTTATGGCTGTAGAAAGGGCTTCCCGAAACTAGTCTAGAACCCTGCTGTGTTCCTGAGCCTGCAGGCAGCCTCGAATAGCTCTGGGGACTCTGCTTTGAGCCCTGAGCCCTGGCAGTGGGTTTGTACAGGCACCACAGGTGAGTGTTTTGGTGTTGGTTCTCCTGTTCCTTTTGATGCAGGGCTCCTACAGGAGAACAGCGTGCTTGAGCTCGCTCTCCTCCCTCAAGGCGCTGCCTGCCCGCGGAGGGCAGGGAGGGCGCCGGGTATTTAAGGCCGGGGCTGGCGCTGCCTCTCTGGCTGCGCCGGGGAGAGCCTGGGACAATTCTTGAGGCGTCCCTGGGCCGCTGAGAGACGCCGGGGTGCCTGGGGGTACCTCTGTGCCTCGCCCCCTGGAGCCCAGGCTGCCTGCCTCTGTCTCTGGCGCCTTGCCCAGCGCCGATAACCGTTGTGGCAGTTCAGGTGGGCCCTGGCGCTGGATGCTGTTTGTTTTCCTCCCCACACCCAGCCTTTCCCCCCCCCACCCCCATCCCAGTGCAACATTCCCAGCGGTTTCGGCAGGGAGCTGTGGAATGTCTCCTGCTCCCGCCGGGGCCCACCCGAACAAGCTGGGCATTGACGGGGAGCGCTCGGCTCAGCCACACGCAGACAGGGAGGGCTCTCTGGTTTGGCCCCTGACCCCACAGCGGGAAGAAAGAACAGGAGGTGAATGGTAACATCAAACAGAGCCCGGCCCGGCTTTCATCTCCCCGGCAAGTCGCGGCTTGGGGGCTCCTATCTGGGGGAGCCGTGTCCTGCGCGGTGCCGGCGCCTCCGGCATCCTCGGCTGCGGGGCAGGCTGATGGGGCAGGACTGAAAGGTCCCAGGACGCTCTGAGTTTGGCCAAGCGCAGGTGGCGGGGTGGCTTCTGCCCGTGGCAGGGATGGGACAGCCCCTCCCAGCCCGGTCCCATCAGCACCCACAAGCAAACCGGCTGTGGATGTTCACGCAGGGTCGGTGTGTGCACGAGCGGAGGTCGCACGCTTGCAGGGAGCTCCCTCTTGTCCCATGCGTGTGGCGTGTACGCCCAGGTTGCCCCAAAAACCTGTGGCGACGTGGTTTTGGCCGCTCTGGGTGTGGGTGTTGTGCGGAGGAGGGCTCTGCCCCGCCGGGTTCCTCCGCCCTCGGGTCCCCCTCCATCCACCCCCAGGTGCTGGCCGGGCAGCTGGAGCCCAGGCACCCGCTGAGCTGCGGCCGTCACCAGCAGCCTGGCCAGGGCCACCCGTGACCGTGAGTGACCGTGGGTGCTTGTCTCCCAGCAGAGTACCCTCAGGGCCCTGTCCCCACCCTCTGGAACGAGCCACCCGAGTTGCCCTCCGGAGCCGGCCCCTTCGACGCTGCCACCACCACCACCACCACCGCCCGGATCTCGGACGCCACCGCCTTCCCCCCCTACACCTCCGAGCTGGAGCCCGAGGACACCACCCACCTGCACCGGCTGGACGCCGGGGACGGTATGTGGCTGGGTGACAGGCTGCCCGCGGGCCACTCCCGGGGCCATGAGTGTGCCTATAGCTCTTTAACCAGCGACTGTGAGCACCTTTCCCAGCTCCTGAACTACAGCCAGCGCCTGGCACGACGCGGCTCTGCCACAAGCCCGGCGCTTCTCTGGGTGTGGGGTCCTCGTCCCCAGGAGCTGGCTGAGGCGGCAGTGGCTGCCCGGGTGCCGCTGGGGCGCGGGGCTGCACCTCGGCCGCGTGGGGACGGGGGGCACCTGGCCACCGTGGGCAGCTCCAGGGCAGGCGTGTGGCCCGAGGGCTTGGGGGGGTGCTGGGCATGGGGGCGATCCCCAGGGACCCGCCGCCTCTGCTGACCTCGAGCCACCTTTGTTCTCTCTCCCCGTAGGCTCGCTGGGGCCCGGAGCTATTGGTGCCATTGTCATCGCCTCCCTCCTGGGTACGTCTGTGCTCGTGGCCTTGGTCGTCATCACGCTGAGAAAGTTCTCGGCCTCCTGAACTCAATAAAAGATTTTTCTGTAACACAACCAGCCCCTCAGCTGCTCCTGCCCACCGCCTGCCCCGGGGCCCCCTGGGGAGAAACGCTGCCGCGGGCGCAGCCAAGGGCACTCCAGCCCTTTCTCACGAGGGACCTGGGGCCGTGAGTGACTTTGAGCTGGCAGCAGCTCTCCTCCTCTCACCGGGCCGGCGGAAACGGCGTTGGGCATCACCTCGCACAGCTTTTCCTTGGGCAGGGTGGTTCGGTTGGTGTAAACCACCCCCCCCCCCGACATCCCTGGTCTCACCCCACCTTCACGTTCAGCCCCGCTTCCACCCTCGGTGTTTGGGCCAGCTGCCCCCCCACCCGTGGCACTGGGGGGGACTGGGGAGGAGGCGAGCGGTTGGTGGGGGGGGAGGAAGAAGACACACGGGTGCTGCTTTGGCGCTGGCTCGCTCAGCTATATTTCATCACACGGGAAAACGAGACGACGAGAAGTTCCCCACAGTTCGCTGAGGCAGCCCGGGGCGGGGTGGGGGGTGGGAGGGGGGCTGGGGGGGGCTCCAGCCCCTGCTTGTGGGCCCCAGGCCTGGCCCTGTACAACACTGGAGACCACTGAAACGGGAGGCGTGCAGGGCTGGGTCTGAGGAAACAACACTGGGTGCCACTTGGTGCCTGAAAAGGGCACGGCCGAGGGTTTGGAGTCCTAAAAAGTCACAGCAGAGCAAGAGGGGCCAGAGCGAGTCCCAGGGCTCGGCAACGGGGCGTGGGGTGGTGCCCGGCAGCCCTGGGCCCCTCTCCTCCCAGAAAAACCCGTGTCCTGGCACTGGGGAGCCTGGGTCAGCCCCTCCACTAGCAAAAGCTGGTTCTGAGGGGTGAGGGAGCCTTTTTGGGCTACAGGAAGGATTCCAGGCGGGTGGTGGGCCTGCAGTGCCCGGGCTGGGCTGGCCGCTGGGCTGCGAAGCTGGAGGATCAGGGATGTAGCGATTTCTCAGGTAATTTTAAGGACTTCCTAGAGCTGGAGCTGCTCTGGGTTTCACTACAGAGAATTTCCGGTTGCTGTAAGATCTGGACCCTGAGCTGGTTGTACTCGGAAAGCTGACTGGGGGGTGCTGCTGGGGGGATCTGACTTGGGGCCTCGCCATTAAATGAGCTGGGAGCACCAGACTGGGGGCTGGGAGCCTCGGAGCTGCCGCGAGGCCCTCGCTGCGCGGTGTTACAGGTGGCCGGGGCAGGCACAGCCTGTTGGTTGTGTTGGCACAACAACAACCGGCTGTTGGCACACACTGACATAGCGGCACTGAGCAGGGAGCCCCTTCCCGGCCGTGGTTCCCAGCAGTTTGCTGCTGGGGGCTGGCTGCAGCCCCCCCCAGCCCCCGTCTCCCCCAGTGCAGGGCTGACACCGCGCTGGCTGTCCCAGGGCCGCCGTGACAGCGCGCACAGCCCCGGCCCTCCCTCGGCTGGGTCCGGCCGCCTGTAACCCAGCCCCGCTCCGGCAGCTCCCCGGTGTCCTGCTCCCTCCGCCGGCACGGCCACGCTCCTCTCTGCGTGCGGGGCTCCGGCGGCTGCTCTCCGTCCCCTTTTCAAGCACAACCGTGGCACCGCCGGAGCATACGGCAGCACAGGCCACGGCACCTGGAAGACTTCTCCTTTGCAGCGTTACAGAAAGATGCCAAACAATTGATTTCCCTGATGGACGCGGGCCGCAGCTGGGGACCTGCAGCTGTAGTTGTGTGTGGGACTGTTGCGAGTGAGGCTGTTGAACGACAGGTGGCTGCCGTGGGTCCGTCCCCCAGCTGGTCTCAGTGCTGCAGCCTGGGCTTCATGCGATGCTCAGTGCCACAGCTGGAAGGAGCGACGATCCGGCTCTGCTGGCCGCAGAGGATTTGCGTATATACACGGAGGTGAGCCTGTACAGGGAGGGCGTGGGTTGTGCACGCAGCCGGGTGGTGTGTGGGTGACAAGCATGCAGGCAGCGGTCGCTGGGCCTCCCGCAGCACGCGGGACAGCAGCTCCTGGGGTAACGTCAGTCGGCAGCGCCGGGTGGGGGAGGCCGCCGGTGCCGAATCAACCAGGAAAGGCCGGCTGCAAGGCCGGGTTTCTGCGGCAGGATGCTGGCTGGGGAGGGAGGGGGCGAGCCGTGGGGCAGGGCCCAGGTGGGCTTTGAGGCCGTGGGGCAGGGCTGGCGACGTTGGGTACTGAGCGTTTCGGAGCGTTTGAGGGGAAGCAGAGCGAGGGGCTGCCCGCAGGAATGGGCCCAGGATGGAGGAGGTGGAATTCCCCGAGGCTCGGCCCAGCCTGGTGCCAATGGGCTGTATGAGAGGCAGCGACAGATCCTCTGCTTCAGTTTCCACCCCGGTAAGATGCTGCTTTAGGAAGGCCCCATCCTCAAAAGGTCGCGACGAGCTGCGAGTGCTCAAACCAGGCGACACGAATCGCTTTGTTACGTTTGTGGCCACGTGCCTTCCCCGGGCGGCCCGAGCCAGCCCCAGCTGCAGGGGACGGGGGTCAGCTGCCCGGCACCCGGTGGCCTCTGGGCTGTGTCCGCTTGGCTCGTGCTCTTTGGGGCGTCACAGAACACCTGGGAAGGGGTTATTTCAGCCAGTTCAAAGCGCTGATCCGCAGGAAAGGATCGGCGCCGTGGGAAGCATGGCGGGGAGCCCGGGAACTTCAATCTGTTTGTTCAGAGGTGCGTGTGCCCGGTCCGGCACACCAGGTCCTGCACCACGGCCCACAGCACCACCGCCGCAGCCGGTGTCCTCTGTCCCTCTCCCAGAGGCACTCCGAGCGCTCGGGGACACCGGCGGTCATTGGCGATTTCTGCTGCCCAGTTTCCTCCGCTGACTATCATCCGACTTGTGCACCCGGAAACACTCCTTCAAGTTCTGGGCTCGGATTTTGGGGTTCAGGATCTCCTCCCCCATAGAACTGGGGAACCAGCCCCTCTCCTGGTCATGAAGACGCTCCCCAAATATCCATCCTGAGCAGAGACAGAGACGGGTGTAAATGGGGAAGCACTGGCCCTTGCTCCTGTGCTGGGACAAACTGGGCTGGAAAGAGCCTCTGGAGCCGGCAGCGCCTTCTGGAAGCTGCTCGGAGGCCTTTTGCTGGAGCAGACCCAGTTTGTAAATCTAGCCGCAGGCCCGCCCGCCTGAGCAGCGCCGTGTTTGGACAACTGGCTCGAGGGATGCCAGGAGCAAGCAGGCACTGCCGCCACCGAGGGCCCTCCGCTGCCCCTGGTGCCACAGGCGTGGTCCCCAGCGGTGACCCAGTGTGACCGAATCTGCCAGCTACCAGTGTGCCCCGCAGCCCCGGGCCGGGTGGCTGCAAAGCGTCATCAAGTAAGAAGAGCCCTGGGTTACACCTGGGGTGGCTGTGCCAGCATTGCCCCAGCTCCGGGCAGCCTGGATTTGCTGAGAATTAGGAGGAAGCAGTAACTCTCTCCTCCTGCTATCAGCTCCCTCGGCCGTGACACCGCCGTCGGGGTCTCTCCCTGGCCAGGGAGGGCCCCTCCTGTCTGCTCGGCAGCCTAGAGCAAAGCCCACCCCTCTGCAGGGACTCCTGGCCCGGCCCCAGCCCGTCCCTCCTACCGTCGTCTGTCTTGTCCAGGATGTTGAGGACGTCAGCCAGTTCTAAGGACAGCTCATCTGGCTGCTGGGCCACGTACGGGTGGACGCACTGGATCTGCGGGCAGTCTGCCGGGGAACAGAGTGAGAGTGAGGGATGGGCAAGGACAGGAGCCCGCCGCAGGACAGCACGGCTCAGGTGGCTGTAGCACCGCAAGCTCGGCGAATGGTCCCTCTGATCTGGTAAAAAAAACCCCACGGAGGGAGGCCAAGGGGTGCCAGAGGGACCGGGGGAACATCAGCACCCATGAGCAGCCTGGGTGGGTGCTGGTGCAGCCCAACCCAGGTTGGAGGAGAGCAAGGTCAGGGCCAGGCTGAGAGACAAGTGGGTGTTGATGGTGGAAACACAAAGAGAGCTGAGGGAGAGGGTTCAGCTTTGGCAGAACCCCCAGGCCTGGGGCTGGACTGAGATCAGGGCAGAGCAAGGTGCCCTGGGGTAGGGGTGAAGAGCTCCTGGCTCCCATGCTGTGTCTCTTACCAACGAGTCTGGATGTAAAGGAAACAAACTTCGTTCTCCGGTTCGGGGCCAGCGAAATCATCCAGCGCTTCATTTCGCTCCTGGATAGGGGAGACAAACCGAGGCCGTGAGCACGAGGCAGCCGTAGAGACCCCAGCTCTCCTGCCCAGCCAGCCCTGGGCTCCTCATTCCTCCTCTCACGGCCCTTTCCTGCCTGCCCCCCCGCCCCAGGTCCTGGCCTCACTGGCGATGCTGAGCCCCCCTCTCACACACGCCAGCCGGGATGTCCCACGTGCCACAGTGCCCCGGGCCCTGCGGGGCCAGCAGGCTGGCTGTCCCCACAAGCACCAGGATCCCACTCGGGGGGGAGCAGCACGGCTTCAGAGAGCCAGCAGCAGGGCGGGGGGCCTGGCATCCTCCGGGCTCCAACCAGCAAAGGCAGCTCCTGGCAGGGCTGGGTCAATAGGAGCAGTTTTTCCTGGAGAAAAGCAGCTAGAAGCAGCATTTATTCCCACAGCTGCTGTGCAGGAACATTTAAAGGGCAGAGCTGATTAATTCACTTGCAGACGAATGCTGCGGCATACCGAGGGTACTGCTCGCTTGGCAGCAGATGAGAGACCCGTGTGAACACAGCGCCAGGTTCAGCACGCTGTTATGCAAAACCTGGGCCTGCAGCAGGAGGGTGAAGATTTCACAGGTGCTGGAGAAGCCGCAGGCCTGGTGCTCCCTTGGGGCTTCCCTTGGCCCTGCTTGAAAACAGGGCAGTTCATCTTCACAGGCTCCAGCTCCTGCCTGGAGGACCAGCTGTGCTCCCGGCCCCGAGGGAGCCAGAACTTTTTACCTTCTCAGATGGCAGTTTTAAAGCCTGAACTTGACATACATCTAAAGCCACCCGAGTGTCTTCTTGGGGGAGAGAGGCCTAAAAGGGAGACATGAAGGACAAGTGCTGGCAGGCTGATCTGTAGGGCTGGCAAGACCTTGTGCCTCAGGGCTGAAGCGTGATGCCAAGGACCGGTGACAACACCTGCAGCTGCAGGTCGAGTGCAGCCCCTCACGCCCCGAAGACGTGCAGGATGGGGGCCCTGGGCACCCAGAGGCTCTGGCACACAGAGAGCAAACCCTGGGCCTTGCCGTGCCGCAGGCTGGCCTTGCACACAGCTCCTTGCAGGGCTCTTCAGATCCCACCCGCAGCCCCCGGCTCCTCTCAGTGTCCTGCCCCTGTGGCCAAGTGTGCTGCCAGCTCCCGGCGGAGCCCCCCGGGGCATCACCTGCAAGCTGCCACCAAGCAGGCGGCCACTGCCATGCGGGTGCAGAGCTGGGCAATGCTGCGAGAGCTGTGGAACAGATGCAGCGAGTCTCCGTTTGGCACCCGCTTTTCTCATTCTTCAGTTTTCCACTTTGTGCCCAGTTCTGCCCCGACCATCCCTGCAGCTCTGGAACAGCAGCCTTCAGCAGTTGCTACCTCACGTTTCAGCACACAAGACCTGTTGGCGAGCCGTGGGCTGGATCACATACTCGCTGTGGCCATCTAGAAGATGGGACAGGCCGCAGCAGCACACCTGCAACTGCCTCCCCTGAGCTGGAGCAAACCCTGGCCTGGTTTATCCTTCTCTGCAAAGCTAAATCTCACAGACGTCAAACGTGCGTTTGCCCTGCATAACGTGAGTGACATCTCTATTTTCAGTACAGCAAAGCTGCAGTCACATGTCTGGGGAGAAGGAGCACTTGCTCACTGTGCTGGGGGCTCGATTTCCTGACGCTGGTGCTGCACTGCGCTGGGCTGGGGTCAGGGTGCAGCCCCCCCCCGGGGTCACAGCTGCGGCTGGTGTCTGTTAAGGGATATGGATGTGGAACGCTGGCAGCAAGGCAACATCAGGCTGGGGGGGGTGCACATCACCTCTGGTAGCTGTTTAGCTGGTGTTGCACGTACACCAATAATAGCGCAGACGCTGTGCCCAGAAATCGTGGGCCTGGGAAGGCTTGGGTCGATGAGAATGCCGTGCCCTGAGCTCCAAAACAATCAGGTCTGTGTTAGCTCAGCTGAATCATTTGCCCGCTCTGAGCTTGTTGGAGCCTGAAGTGAGAAATCAGTGAGCCAAAAAACCCTGTATCCAGGGAGACAAGGAGGCCTGGAGCAGCAGAAGGGCTGCGCTAGATCGGCATCAGCTGGGGAAGGCGCTGAGGAGGAGGAGGCCTCTTCTTCACCTCTGCCTACAAGCAGGAGCCACTTTGCTTCACAGGGCTGGTCAGGCGCGGCCATGATCAGCTGAGCCGCCGGAGCGTGCGCAGCGTACATCCTGCTTGCTTTTACTTTCTGAATATGCTGCGGGCTGTAAATCAGTTCAGGCGCCTGTGCCAGGGCTGATTTCTGACCTCTCTGTCCCGTGACGCAACATTCCCATCCATCTTCCACCCCGGGTACCACAAACACACCGTACAGGGGAGAAACCTGCCTGGTTGGCTAGAGCCCTTCTGTAGGAGGGGACAAAGGTGGCCTCAGGAGAGCGATGCTGGGCAGAGGGGTTTGGGGGCCAGCCCAGCTGCAGCAGTGGGACCTCTGCCTGCCTGATCCCCGCAAGCCCGGAGCGGTGGCCCCCACGCAGGCGGGTGCTGCCCTGGCACAGGGGTCGGGCGGGAGCAGCACGCCTGTCGTACTCACTGGGACGATGCCTTCAGCATGTAGCTGGCCTCCCGGTCGTCGGCATTCTCCAGCAGCCTCAGGATGAAGACGTTGGCCAAACTCTGCCCTTGGTCTTCTAACTCCTCCACCCGAAGAAGTCCCCGCGGAGCCGAGTCAAACACTTGGTACTTGTCCCTGGAAGAGGTTACAGGATTAGGAAAAACTGCAGTTATCCCAGGAGACTCTGGCTTCAGCCACCCAGAACGGCACTGGGGACGCAGACCAGAAACTTTTGCATAGCAGGAAGATAAAAGATGTCCTGCTGTGGGAAGGGATGAGCGAGTGGTTATGAAAATCCATCGCAGAGCAAGAGACCCTCTCTTTGCTCTGCCTTAGGCATCCTGCGTGGCCCAGGACAAGTTGCTTGCTCTGTCAGAGCTCCCCGTGCAGAAAACACAGCCGGTGCTCCCTCAAAGGGGACTGTGAGGCTTAATTCATTCCCATTTGTAAAATGCCTCTGTGTTTTCTGGACACAAGCTGCCGCAGAAGCAAAATATTTCCAGGCATACAGACACTGCGGCGACATGTTTATTAGAAACGTTGGACTAGCGAGATGCTCTCTACCGGTGAGTCTAGTTAATGCTACAAAGAACGTGCTGTTCTCTGGGACCCGTCTGTTTGTGCTGCTGTATTTCACTAGTGTCTAGTTGCACAAGACACAGTCCTAAGCATGACAACATCATCCTCCTCCTGAGGCAGGTTACACTGTGTCAAATACAACCGCTAGCCTCAGGCCTAAATTTATACCCCTCCCTGCTGCGCAAATTTTCTAGCCTGCTTTCTTGGAAGTTTAACTGACTAAGACCGAGCTGTTCTTCAGGCAGCGATGAGTCAAAAATCACTTCTTGACAGGGAAGACAGGCCTCCTGGGTCAGCCCACCAGTTGGTGTAGCTCACTGCCACTCTGCAGAAACTGATGGATACGTGCTCGCTTACCCTGCAGGAGACCTGGCCTGACTCTGTTCAAGTCCTGTTTGCCGTAGATTTTCAGCTGGAGGGAGCTGTGCCACCCATGAAGAGTTAACTGCGCTCACAGGCAAGGTGACTGCTGGTGGCGAGGGTGGACAGGACGGGGATAAACTTGGATAAACCCAGGGGCAAATGGGACCAGTGAAGTGCCCTGCATACTACCCGAATTTTACACTCACCCAGGAATTTGCCGGCAAATTACCAGCAGATCATTGAAAAGGAACAAGTAGATTTCTCTGAAGAGTTTCTTAGTGCGAAGCGTTCGTGATGTTTTCGGACCATTCATTTGCTGTAATTCCCCCTGCTTCAGCAGCCAGCGGGAGTGAGAGATGATGGGCACAGACTAAAAGTGAGAAAAAGATGGCAAAGATCAGGAGAGCAGCAAAAACACATGGGCTTATGCGGTCAAGATGCCAAAAGCAAAGGGAGGTGCAGAAGGAAGGGTCGGGAGCTCTCATCGCCACGACGCGCGCTGCAGAGGATGGAGCAGGGCTGGACAGAGAGGGCAGCGTGCTCTGCCATCCACACCACAGCCCGGCACGGAGTGCAAGAGCGCTCAGGCAGGGGCCTGGGGATGAACAAACACTCGAGGACGGTGATGCTGGAGAGCCAAGTGCTGGATTTAAACACCCGGCTACGCCCTGCACAGCCTGGTCTGTCTCCGGGTCTGAGATCCCATGGCTCATCACCTGGACTGAGCCTTTCTGCCCAGGGAAAGTGACTTTCAAAAAACACGTACTCGGCCTTTTGGCTACAAAATACCCAAGTTAAGTGGGTTCTCACTGGCTGGGTCTGTCCCAGCCAGGAGGAGATACTGTCCACGCAGCCACAACAGCACTTCTACTAGAGTTTTACCACACATTGTGTTAAACAAGAAGCCCAGAACAAAGCACATCTAATATTAGAAGAATGATATGCTTCCAGTCAAGTGACTGAAATACTGGAAAATACCTGCATAACTCTTTCCACCCTCACACCCTCCCCGTGTTTGTCACGTGCACCGTGGCACAGTCTTTCTTTCCACGCTCTTGCACTCTTTTCACCAGAGGAGCCCTGCTTGCACCAGTGCCCAAGGCAGACCTGCTCCAGGGATGAGCCAGCTCCTGCCTGGCATTACAGCCTCGGCTTTACAAGACCCTTGCAGCTACCCCAATCCAGGGCTGGCCTGTGGACTGTGGTCTAGCCCTGACACACTGCTAAAGTGCTATGGAAAACAAAAAATTTTGGGGCGCCCAGTGCAGCTTTCCAAACAAATGGCCTCAAACTTTTTTTTTTTTTGGTTTGGCTGTTCAGGTACTTAAAAATGTTGCTGGGAAGCTAAATATGCTCCTTAAAGGCTGTGAGGCAGAGAGATCTGAGAAGCATGTCCACAGCACTCAAGAAGGGAATTGGCAACTTTATACTCAGCACTGGAGTTTTGTGGCATATATTAAATGAGATCTGGTCAGACACCCCGAAATAGCGACTCAGTCATTCCCTGAGTAGAGCCAAAATAGATCACCAGCAGGTAATTAGAGACTGTACATAATGCATAAACGCACGGATTAATTAAAATGGTGGGACAGTCTTCATTTTGGTATTCCCCAGCTTGAAAGTGTTTTGCTTGTAGCTTTCATCTTCCTTTAACATAATTTGTAATGTAAAATAAGAGCTGAAAGCTGACCTGCCCTTCGAATAGAGGTGAGAGGGAAGAGCCAGCAGTGAGTGCTGGAGCCGGAGCCACTCTCTGGGCACAGGCGGTTTGCACCAGTGCGTCACCCCCATGTACATGCGCTCCACGCTGGCCCCAGCGCTGCCCCCGGCCTCTGCAGCACATGGGCACCGAGAGCCCACGCACGCCCACAGCAGCAGCAGCAGCAGCAGCAGCAGCAGCAGCAGCAGCAGCAGCAGCAGCAGCAGCACCCCCCCTTTTTCAAAGGCTGCGGAGGGGACAGCGTGGGCCAGGCTGCCACTGACTGCTCGCTAAAAGGAGCGCGACCAGGTTACTCCTGCCATGTATGTGCGCACAACACCTGGCTGCTGCTGCTTCACTGTCTGCAAAGGGTTACCAGCCTGTGCTCATACCTTGATCTTGAATTCCAATTTCTTCTGGATGCTGATCATCTGCTCTGTTCGGCTCATCTTCCTGACGCCTTCATTACATGCTTTCACCACCTGGGAAGAAGAGAGTAGAAAGATTTGCCTCCACTGGCCTTAAGCAGGTAAGCGCTGCTGAAGAGCACAGAAAGGCCTCACCATGACAGGGTAAGTGCCCTGCTGTAACAAGAACTGACCGAGCCAAGCTCTTCTATCAGCACTGTATTTGCATGAAAAAGAGCAGGGGAAAACCAAACCAAACCAAAAAACCATCAAAACCACCCAGAAGATGTTATAGCTGGAAGCTGATTATCAGAAGACATGTTAGAAGGCTGCATTCAGTTACTGAACCAGACGGTATTAAGCAATACCCCTGGTGGCACAGCAAAGGGAACGGCTCATTTTCCAGATCCTGACACACCATGTATCTCATCTTCCTTGTCCCCAACACTTGCAATGAGGTACACACGCAGTATCATCGTCAAGAAGAGAATGAAGCCAAAGATCTTCATTTCAAAGATGCAAATGCTGTGGTTCTGCCAAGCAGCACCACATGCCAAGGCTATGAAATGTCGCAGGGAAAGAGACGTTCATCACACAGAGCCCAGCTGTGTTCTGAGTACAAACTTTTAACTGAAAAACCACAATCAGTGCGCAGGCACTACCCTATTACAGGGACCTTAACCTAGATGCCACCGCCTGTTTCGTAAGGAGCAACTCTCCTGAGAACTGGCTAGGTAGAAAAATTACACTGGAGAACAAGCTCCACTTTGTGCTCTGTTTCTGCTACTCAGAACCCACCAGAATATCAGCAACTGAAACTGTGATCAGCTCTTACCTCTCGAGTAGGACACCTACAGAGAAAATAAGCACCAGATGATCTCTGTTGTGCTGTCTACCTATGTGGACATTAGGCATCTAAACTTAGACACTTACAGATAAGTAACCATTCAAAGGGAGTTACAAAATTGATTACGTGACAGCTGAATATAAAAAGAGCATTTTTTTCATCAGCAGTCATCTGCATACGACAGGAACAGCCCTCCTCAGGCTTCTGACCAGTGAAAAAACAATTGGCTACCAGATACATCACAAGGGATTCTGCAAATACTAATGCAGAACATTCTTCATTGCTAAGGTCTCTGTCTTTATCCCTAGTGATCTTCAAAGTGTACACTTCCTAGGATAGTTCAGGGCAAACCCAAGAGCCCACTTTGTTCTAGCATTTCGGTCAGAAGCTGCAACCCTATCCTCAGGCTGACGGTCTAGCACGGTTCTCAACTCCAAACACTTATGCTGAACTGCAGAATTCAAGAGATGTTCCAAGCTTCTGATGGAGAAGGGTTCAAACACTCTGTCCTAGCCCACGGAGCTGCCAGCTACATCCAGACCATTCAGATATGTAGCCTGGAGGTGGGATCGCCCTCTCTGACCCTGTCAGGAACAGCCCAGATGGAAAACATCCCAATGCCTTCCTGATATTTTGTACGCAGCAGTAACTAGCACAACTGAACACCACACCTACCCCCCAGCTTCAGGGAAGAGGGCTAAAAGCAGGCTTGAGTACTTCATTAAGAAACTGTTATTCTAGGTCAGAGGAAGAAGTGTGCTGTATTGAAGGAAACCTGATACAGTTGTACTCCACTGCCGGCTGCAGCTAATTACATCTCTCAGTGGGATCCATCACCTTCAGGTGTCTGCAAAAACAATGTATATTCTTGAAGACCCCAAGGGAAAGCATTCTCTCTGCCCCTTCCTACAGCGGGAACATACGCATCTGTTGTTAGCCAGGGATTCCTCGTCACTGACGTCTAAGTGCTGCTAGATTAGTCCAGCTTTGAGAGCAAGGAAGACTTAAGAAAAAAAAAAAAAAATTACTCTTGAAGCACAGTGACAGGATTCACAGGGACAGCTCCAGGAGTGAATGTAGTTTGTAGGTCTTTCTGGGGGGAGAATGAGCGTGATGGTTTAATTTTAATAGCCTTCGGTTAGCTCATTCAAACTTACTGTTTCCAGTTCTTTATGTGCATCCAGGGCAGTGGATTCCCTGTCAGACTTCTCTTCCACTTTCTTCAAAATATTCTGCAGGTGAGGAAAAGCAGTGTTAACTCTGATCCCAATCTGACAGCACAGAAAGGTCTTTGCTAGCTACTGAGTTATTTCTGGCCATCAGCCTAATTACAGGATAGGTGACAGAGTACAGCGACTCTCACCTCTTAGTTTCTCTTTCTCATTAAAACCTGTTTCCGTCTGACCGTAGAGCTAAAAGAAGTACAGTAGGCAGACTCCTATTTTATAAAAATAAATGAATAAATAAAAATAGCTAGAGCTGGTGGCACTAACAGACAGTGTGATTGATAATCCCAGTGGGATAAGACCATTTAGGCCTGAGCTGTTTCCTCAGCCCTAGAAGCATGTCCTCCAGCAGTGTTCAGACAAGCTGGCAAAGCACGGGAGGAAGATGGCTGACAGTCTGGTCCAAGTCACCATGATGTAGGGTATTACACACGGAGCGTTTCCACATCCTGCAGCTGTTCTGCACTGTGCCTCTCCGTGTCAGCATCCTAACCAGCAGGCAGCTGGGTTAACGGACTGTTGTGACCCCACCTAACAGCTCAACAAAGTTCCTCCTCAGCTCTTTTGCTCAAAAGCTATCTGGCAAATTCAACACTAATTTGGGGATGGTCTCTGAGTATCCGAAATCTTTTTTTCCATAGTTGTTGAGAATGTCTAACTCTGTGGAAAGGCTTCATCCGGCTCTAGGGATGATCATGGCTGTATCTAAGCCTCATTCACAACTGCTGGAAAGGAAAATTCCAGGAGTCAGAAGACCTTTGGGGGAGAGAGGAGAGTAAAACTGTACCTGCACCAGCAGCTTGAGTCGAGTGATCCTTTGAAACGGCAGAATCAGGAAGGAAGAAAAGGACAGGCCTTTGCACTTGGGATCCAGCTCCAGCTGTGAGATCACTTCCCGGAAAGCTGGTTTGTCCTGGCTGAGAGGAGAGAAAGAGGAGGTGAGGGCTTTGAGTGCTACCCTGCCTGAGACTTTGGCATATGGCTGGTGACCCAAAAGCATCTTGGTCCTAGAGACAGCACCTGCCTGGCCTCTCCCGAGAAGAGGGCAGGAGGAGACTGAATGCTTCTAGGTGTATTTTAGCTTAAATCTAGAACTATTTATAATGTTGGGGGAGGGAAAAAATAGACTTTTAATGTACAAGCCATGGTAGTGTTCACATGTGCTAGCACATCTAGCTCAGCAGCATACGCTGTGTGCGTAGGTGCGTGTGAATGGGGTGTGTGTCCAAGTAGATGAGTCAGAGGCATAATTATATATTTTTACACAGTTGGAACTCTGTGACAAGGTGAAATTCTCACAGTCGTAAGAACAAGACAAGCCACAAAACAGCTCAAGCTTGCCTACTCCTGGCTGCTTAGCTGGAGGATGGAAATCATTATCTGGCTTGAGAAGGGCACGGGCCGTGCCCCGGCTTTCCCTGGTGGTGTTTGCAGCAGATGAGGGCATTGCTGGGCCACGGACACCGCTGCACGGAGCAGCCTCACAAGCCCCAGCTGCCATAAACACAATATTTCCTGGCAACTGTGGGGCCCTGGGGAAGACTTACACCGCTGGAGCCCTGGCTAGCAGAACCAGCGTGGATGCGAAGAGATTGCTAACTGTGCAAAACCTGTCTTTACTGCGTATGACGCGCGGCATCCGAAAGAAGCCGCTGTAAGTGTTTCTCCCTGCTGCAGTTGTGCAGCGGAGTGACTCACCAGAGCCACAGCAGAACGGACCTGCCTGTCCCTGAGGAACAGCCAAATGGGGGGAACTGTGACACACCTCAGGCTTCGAGTTCAGCCAAGTGCTGCAAAATTCTTGCGCTAGCTAGGAGCCTGTGGAAGGAAGCCTATTCTTTTCAATTTGCATTATGTTCTCCCGCAGACAAAAAAAAAAAAAACAAAAGCTGCCCTCTAAATTCTTATCTAGGAATACCTCTACCTCCAACAGGTCCTTTTCAAGCTCAAGTAATCCAGCCTGTTGCTGCATTGCTTCTGAGTGTTTAGCTAATGGCTCTAGGCAAACTGTTTATATTCTGCAGCTATTCTGCTCACCTCTGACTGAAGGAAACCCTGTGGTACCTTCCTTTTGGAGAGAACAGTTGGCCAAGTTCAACAGAGGCCCCTTAAAGTGGTTGGGTTTTTTGCCTCAAAAGCTGGAGAACAGAGAAAGGAAAGGATTAGGGCTTGTTACACTCCCCTGAACCAGCTGCTGCTACGGGGAGGAAATACAGTGCAGCATGTGCAATGGGCTCTCCTGAAAGAAGCCAGGATGTTGTAACTAAAGAAAAATTAATTCTCTTGCTCAAAGACAAGCCTGTAGGGCACTCTGTTTTGAGCTGGTGTAAGGGAACTCCTACCAGACTCAAAGCCTTGCTAAACTTGAAAAAGACTGCAAAAATATCTTGGATTATAACCTCGGGTGTAGGTAACATCTGTGTGTGTAACACCAGAATGTGAAGAAAATAGCTTTTTAAATTTTCTCTTAAGAAAAAATTGTTGTTCTAAAAAAAAAAAAAAGAGGAATTAGTTCTCAACTTTGGTTAGGTCAAATGCTTTGCTGAGAAGCTCGGGAAAAGCAGTGGCTGTTCTTGTCATCAGAGATCTGTATTATATTCTTGGCTTTTCAGTCTTCTGCCTCTACTGGCTATTTAAAAATACATACATTTCACAAGTGTGTGCCCCTATGTACACCGTAAATAATCACCACAGCTGGGAACTGCTGACTCTGAGTTTACTTGGTATGTTACGTGCATACTCTGCCACCCCACCCTTACTATAAAGCCTTTCAATCGTGTTTTCTTTTTACAGGTGCAGCATAAGATCAGTGAGGTAGGAAATTCTGTTTCTGTACTATCTAGCCCTTTCTCAGAAATACCAAAATTACAGCTAAAACCATGGCCTATACAATTTTGCAAAATAATTTAGCGTCAAGCACTGGGACTCACAGAAGCTGCTTGTAAGCTCTCTCCTGGTAGGTCTGGTTGGAGACGTAGGTGATGTACACAGAGAAGTGATTAACTGTATGCTGGTAGACAATATCGCACACATCCGAGATCACAATATTCTCCTCCACTCGCTGCTCAAGGTCCAACAGGAAGCTAGATGAGAAACCCAACACTAATATTAACTGTGACCTGTCTGTCCCAGGTAGTTCTCAGAAGCAGCCCCTGGGGTTCAAAGCAATGAATGTGTCCACAGGCTCTTTGGAAGGACAGTGGGTAACAGACTGCCCCTAGTCAGGTCCCCCATCCCTCTACGAATGAGGTCAGCTAAAGCGATGCCATTCAGCTGGACAAAAATCCAGCAGCAGTTGTCTTACCGCTCACTAACAGCCATGACATCCAGGACATTGGAGAAGAGGATGTGTGCCTCAGACTGGTGTAAGATCTTTTTCAGGCGTTCATTCTCCATGAAGTGAGATACTAGCAGATTCAGACTCTTGTAATATGAAGCTTCAGAAGTAACCAGCTCAAACATGGCCTGGGGGAGAATCCCAAAGAAGGACATCAGCAGGTACCTTCTACTTCTGTAGAGAGGCACACACAGCGTTGAAGAGAACATCTGTGCTGCACACAGTCATGGACCTTGCACCCACCCTCCAGGCCCGGAGTACAGGGAGAGGAAAGCATTTGCTATGTGTTACACAGGGTAGTGATTTGAACAAGGAAGACTTCCTCCCTCAACCGTCAGCCCTGGCTCCTTCTGTCTCTCTCCTAAGTTGTTTGACCACATTTCCTTCCACTGAATCTCCCCAGCAGAATTCTCTTTTACTCATTATATATAAACGGTCTGATTTGGTGCATGTGCACGCATAAAAGCACTTCATAGGCTCCCCCCTTCCTTCTTCGTGTCACTCAGGCTTGACCTGAGGCTTCCCCAGACACTGCCCCCACCCCCCCCCCCCCCCATGCCCACTTGTCACGGCCCTGCCCTTCCATCTCCCTTTTGGGGAGCACCCCTTGGCAGACTCCACACACCCTCCAACCCCTGCTGATCATGCTGGCTTATATCTCTGCTCGTTGGGGCTTATCGTGCTACCTAGGAGGGTCTCCTTGCACCCTCTACACTCCTGTTTTAGAAAAGCCATGGTGTCGGGGCTGGGCTGTCCAGCACCCAGCGCACTGCAGTCCCAGAGTGCGACACGTGCTCCTTGGGGCAGAGCTAATAGAAATGCACAGCTGTGGTGCTCCGAGCCCCAGTGTCTTCCCTGACCTAAATGAAATACAGCTGGTACTGTCCACGTGAGGCTCCCTGGTCAACCCCAGCCACACGCTTTTCTGGCCCAATTCACCAAGGACTAGGCCAAGGCACGATAGTCCTTAGCTCTTACTGTGAACCATAAATAATCTCCAAATCCCAGCCCTTCCCTCTCCTGTTAAAGAGAAGTCTCTGGTGCAAAGCTTGGCTTTCTCAGGCCAGGGATGTGGTCTGTGGAAGCAGAAAGACAAATTGATGGTTTGGTTCAAGAGAGAAATCACAAGTTAATGAGACGAGGATGTAGAACCTTCTGCTCACACCAGGTGCTGCAGGAACAGTCCACTATTACCACACAGACCTCACTCACTCTCCAGGCAAGTGTTTGTTGTCCTTGTTCAGCAGTAGATCAAAAAGGTGATTATTTACACAACTATTGAATCCATTAGTTGAAGTAAGATTAATTGAAGATTCTCACAATGACTTCAACATGGTGAAAAGTCCTTAGATCCTTCAGACATCTCTTGATGAAGGTGTGTCTTGGGCTCCTTGTCCTGGGGCTGGCCCGTGCTGCCATTACTGAAAGAGGAACCTTTTGGTAGCTCAGTGAAAGTCTCGCTTCCTTGAACCTAAAGCTGCTTTGACCCTTGAGCCCAAGCTCTCCCACTGCCCGCAGCTCTTGCGCTGCACCCTGGTGAGGGTGGGAGCTGGCCAGGCAGTGTGGGTGCAAGTCCTTGAGCTCCACTGGCTCTCAGAGGCTGCATGGGCCCAGCTGGAGTCGAGGAGATCCAATGGAGCAGCAGGTACATGCAGTAATTTTTGTGCTGCGCATATGAAATAGTATCTTCCAAATCAGTTGGGGGGTTTTCTTGCGGCTTGGTTGTTCTTCTTTTAGTGGGTTGGTTTGTTGCTTTGGTTTATTTTCTTTCTAAAGAAATGATCTGAAATCTCCACTGATCAGTTTTTGGTCTTTTCCTGGAAGTATCGCTATGCATCACAGAAGGTATGACACCTGGTTATATTCTGTACCTGAGGTACAGACACCTGGGTTATATTCCTGACACTATGCTGCAGTCTAAGACCTGGGAAGGTGGGCACAGCAAGGAGGGACTGTTATTCAATCCAGAGCTGCTAAAATATCAGTTGAAGTGACATTTCAGTTCTTTGTGGGTTTGATGGCCTACGAAATAGTCCCAGTGGCCAGCTGAGTCAAACAGGTGGTCTTTTCCTGTACCAGAGAAGGAGGTTGTACCTGCACAGCCTCAGAAGGGAGACAGAGCAAAGGGTGCAGGTAGAAATGAAGGTACTTGGTCAGTAGATGTGGAACAGCTGGAATTTAAGGAATAAGAGGATGTGTGGCTTTTTTTTCAAGGCCAGATTCCCAGTGAGAAAAGTGGAGGAGTATCAGCTCAGCATATCCCAACAACTTCACCAGGGAACCTGGTGAACCTGAAAGAGAACCTGTCTTTCTCTGCATGTCTGGCTAGGTCTTAAATGCACCTCTTACAGCTTTAACTGTAGCTTTTTATTGGATAAATTAGAGGAGAAGAAATAGGTAAAGATACAACAAAGAATAAGACATGATGTGCTAGGGCAGCTGTCCCTTCCTGATATCCTGGGGATTGATACTACCAGTCATTTTGCACTGCAGCTTTCCAGGCACTCCAAGCCAGGATATTTTTTTCTGCCAGGCCTTTGATTGCAGGATGGCCATAAGAGCCAAGATCAAGATCTGCCACCCTACCACAGCCTTTAAACCCTCAGACAACTTGCTTAATCTAGAAGGTTGCTTCCTGATCTGTAGAAGCCCCTCTGTCTATGTTTGGAGAATTTAATTTGTGTACATTCGCTGATCACCACAGTGAGGGGTGCTAGACCTGCATGGACATGTGCAGAGCGCAAGCCAGATCAAGGAAATCATTAAATCCATGGTAAAAATATCAATGCAGTGATTTAAAGGAGATGCCAGGAAAGTAAAGAACATCTCCACTGATCTGGACAAGCTTCTGGAAGTGTTCCAAGCATGTTTAAGGCACAAGTTTCTTAATTTACTTTGGAGATCCAGATGGTCCTCTGCAGACCCAAAGCACCTCCCAAGAAGCTCAGACTGCTGTTTCCCTTTTGAATGGTAAGTATGAGCTGAAAAAACCCTCCTAAACTGGCACCAAACATCCAACCAGCAGTGTAATGATGTGATCTCTGTGGAATAACTGGACTTTGCTAGCTCTAAGCAGTCACTATTAAAAAAAGCGTATGAGCTTCTGGCCTCAGAATTGCAAAAATAACTAGGAAAAAAAAAAAAAAAAAAAAAGAACTAAATGTCAATTGATGTGGTATTATCTTCCTGAGTCTACAAATAGTCTGAAACAATCTCTTGGAAACATGACCAACACTGTTCCATCAGTCCTCTGGGTCATTAACTTAATGAATTCTCATAGTCATGTAAAAACTATTCTAATGGCTTTCTTTGCTTATGTTTTGGCAGAGAGATTGAGAAAGGAAAAGAGAAGTGAAGCTTAATAAATAAGGAAATGTAGAAGATAAAAAAGGAGAAAAACTAAGAGTCACCAAAGACAAAGAGTAAGTAATCCTATAGACTAAATTCCTACTGAGACAATACGATGTTTTATTGCACAGATTGAAAATATCTGTTTCCAGTGGCCCTGCTCTTCACTTAAACCACCAGGTAAGGAGGAGGAATTCTGGCCTAGTCTGGGAGGGATCCTGTTCTGGGCTGATGCCGCAGCATTAGCTGTGACCAGCTTTCAGGCCTGGTTGTAATCACGGGGCCAGTCTGGCATCCACCTGCTAGGAGTGCAAAGTCCAGCACAAGAGCTCTCCGGAGCAGGGCAGCTCCATTGTACAGCTAAGTTAGAGGTCTGAAATCTAAGGTTTGCTCAAAGAAGGAAAGGAAACTAATTCCTATTTGGACATTTTTGTGAAAATGGAGCAAGAAAGAAAGACTGCCTACCTGTCAAACACGCTTCCACAGAGAGGGCGTATCAACAGTGTGCACAACCAGGTTCAAGTCCCTCTTTTGTTTGAGCAAAGAAAATTTTCAGAGCAGCAGCTCTCTGATCTAAATTCACATCACAATACATGGTGCACATTAGTCTGTCTCAGTCCATTTTTCTAACACCAAAGTGACTTGAATCCAAACAACCCCTGGCAAAAACTTTATCAAAGCTCATACATGTCAGCAAAAAGGGATCAGTTCAAAGACTGAGAATACTTTGCTAAACTATTTTTATTAGTAAATTGGTTTTGGCAAGTTCCACTCAGCTTGGAATCTTCTAAAACACAGAAGATGAACACGGCATAGAAAAATCAATACAGTTAGCAAGCAGAAAACTACAAAATGAAGAAACTATACAGTAAATAAAACTGAAAAGTGGAGAACTGAACTGGGAAGGAGGAATAAACTGGAGCCCTCCACAAAAAGGCCATACCAATATCTAATTTAAGGTTTATGCTGAAAGACGTTTCACGGATTAAATGTTGTTTCTTCTAATCATGGATCACTATCTCTTCAGAGCCCAGCACCCTGGTGATGGAATTTGTTTTAACATGTAACATAGGGAGTGTGTTTTCTCTCTAGTCACCTCTTCCTCCAGCTACATACATGCTGCCTGTCACTTCCTTCACACTGACTCCATGTCAGAACCAAACAGCATTTCTTTCGGCTTGTTCTTCCTGAATCATTACATTTTCTATAGAGGAAAAAGAAAGCCCTTGGTGATTCATGTAACACGTCTTCTGCTTATTCTTTTGTTCTTCATTTTTCTGCATTTGCACCCACATTGTTTTGTGATACTTCCAGTTGTTGCTTTACATCTTGCTACTCTCTCATTCACTTTCAGATGAAAAAGGCTGGTGTGGCAGAGGCCATCACTGTCTGAATTCTGTTTGAGTTCCTGGGGCTAATGGGCCATGCTGCAACCATTTTTTTGCTAAAATTGCTGGGGGGTAGATGTGGGGTTTGGGTTTTTTTGGTGTTTTTTTTTTTTCCTTCCTGAAACTCTACTTTCTGGCTCATGTGTTCCAATGGGGACAATGACAAATTGCCTTCCATGACACTTTTCAAGCATCCACTGCTCTTCCAGTCAAGTTTCTTGTTTTGATGCTTGAAAAACACCTGCGTTTTTTATCTTGTACTGATAACCTGCTTAGTTATTTTCCATCATTGCCAATAATGAAGACCAGACTCCTCCTCTTGTTCTTGCCTCTTTAATTTTGCAAATTACTGCAGATGAGCAACGTTTTCTCTGACTGGTTACGCCCTGCGCCATCACAGCTGTGGTAGTGTTCCCTTCCTCAGCTGTGAACAGGGGTGTTTGCTTCAAATTTCTTTCCATTCAGGCACTGGTATTCCTCCCTGCGGTGTAAATAATACTCTTGATCTACCTTTCCTGGATGAAGAGCTGCAAGCTCTTCTAGTCCCTGTGTTTACCACATCTTTGAAGGTAAAATGGGTCAGAAAGGTACAATATTGTCCTTAAGAGATTTACTCCACAATTTCTGCTGCTCTGTACTTCAGGTAAATTCCTCCAGTTCTCCTTCCTAAAGCTGAACACTTTACAGTCACTTAATCAAGCCATCGTGTACAGCTCACACTCCCAGTTCATATCCAACGTGAGTACAGTTCCAGCGCTGCGGGAGCAAACAGTGCTTGCTTATGGCAAGGCTGAATTTAACATCATCTCTTTAATTGCCTCAGTGATTTCTCCAGCCTTCCTTGTTTTCTGTCCTTGACTCTACTCACAAAGCAAATTCGTCGCCTTATCTATTCAATGTTCGGCCAATTTCACAGCTTTCTGGCTTTGAGCAATTTTATAATCTCTTACTGTGCTAATCCCAGAACAAACAGGACGAAAATTTGAACTCTGATAAACTAACATCACGGGAAAGCACAGCACTTTTTTAAGACAGCACTGTCCCATCTCCATCTGCTTTATTTCTGTTGTTATTTAAGTGGAGAGCAGAAAATTCAGCACACTTCATATTGGGGTTTAGCAGCACAGAGATTTTTTCCTTAGAACACCTACAAGGTAATGAACATAACTCAACAGAAATGAAGTCTACAATGCAAACTTTTAAGCAACTGTTTCTCTGTAAAAGACTCTTCATTTTGAAGCAGAAAGAAGAAAAGCTTGTAATGTTTCAGATGCCAGATTGTGTTTGTAATGCTGGCAGTTAGAAGTACCGTGTTTTGCCAGGTAAACAGAACAAATCTGATACGGAAATAACCAGTGCAGAAGAAGAACATGGAAAAACAACAAATCATTTTAGTCACCTTCTGCCATAGCCCTGACACACTAGCAACCTGTGCGGCCAGCCCAAGCTACCCTGTATAGACACCGGTCCCTTCCACCAAGGGTGTAAGTAACAGAGCCCTGCCATCACACCCCCGGGCTTCACAAGATGAGCCTTCCCAGTGTAACAGGGAGGTTCTAGCCTTGGCCAGGACTAGGGTGGCACTCTATACACAATGGACTCAGATGTCGACTGTGCAAATCCAAGTAAATTTAGGCGGAACTGCTCACACCCTGAGATGCTCTTCAGCGTTTTGGGTACAATCTCATGAGCCAGGGCTGAACACATTCACTGCCACAACGGTCTCACCAGAAGCAGTCCTGGTGCAGGAGTACAGTAAGACTCACAGGATGGAGCCTTTGAAGGCCCATTGCTCGTGTTACAACGCACACCACACACTGAACAAGGCCTGCTCCTCTCCACTGCTGGCTACAAATGCAGTGCTATGCATTGACAAAGAGCACTCACGCTCTCCTCGCTATCCAAAATAGCAACCAGTTGTAAATGGTTGTGTGACTGATGTTTTCATTAACTGCAGCAGCTACCCCCACCTACTCCTTCCGCTATTTGATGCAGCCTTATAAATGAACAGCATATGACTCTTAAACAGTGATGTCACTGCACCCTATGGCCAAACTGCAAATATACCTGTCATTATTTTTTACTGTTTTGCATAAGACTTCAAGTAACAATATTTAAAAATAAGGAAGCTTATCAATCTCCACCTCTTCCCTTTCTGTTAATGCCATCATTTTTAAAACAGATTAAAGTTAACAGTTGAATTCTTCTAAGATTTCTGGTGGAAAGTATGTATCCTGTTAATAACTTCAGAAGAGGATTAATGTGCACTGGGAACCAAAAGCTTTACTGCAAGAGCCTCTTCATTATCGCTCCCTTCCTTTGTAAATTGCTCCTAACACTGATTCAGAGAAGGGAAAATAAGTTATTTTTTGCTACAGATACGTCCACCAGCAACTGTGTCTAGAACAACATCTGTAGTTTCCAAAAAAGAGTGAGTGGTGCTAACCAGTGCTACACAGGAAAGTACTCAGCAGGGCAAAACTCGTCTGTGACTGCTAAGAGGCTTTTCATTTTTACATCTTGATCATTTGACTTAATTCAATCTTTTAAGCAGCAACCCAGTTAAGAAAGAGCCCACCTTCCCCTATTACCTCCTGCAGCTTGATCTCATCTGGCTGGAGGATGCTGAGGACCCCGCTGCTCCGGATCTCGGGAAGATCCTGCCATAAGTTGAACCTGGAGTTGGAGTTCCTCAGCAAACTGATTTGTGGTGGAGCTTTGCTTTCGGTTGTACTTGTAGGTTCTGCTTCAGATGGGGTTTCCTCACTGGGTGAACTCTCCTCAGGATCTGTCTGTGAATCCTGCAGTCGTCTGGTTTCAATCTCCTGGCGTGTAGACTTATCTCGATATTCCTGATACAAGAGCCCTAGGAGGCAACATTAACAGGTTAATGAGAGGTTACAGCTGAACAAAAGACTAGAAATATATTGTGGGAAAGGATATTTGTTTTGCATTTGTTCACCTCAGCAGAGGTGAAAGAGATCCCTTCCGTGCTGAGTGGTAAAGCTCATTACGGCATTCCTGTTTCAACCAGAAGTGGAAACTATAAATGGAAGGCCATTTCTAAATCTAAAGTGTTGTCAACAATCTGCTCTCACAAAACATTTAGTAACACAGTCAGATGAATCCATGATCAATCAGAAGACATAAAAGAAGTGGTTTATTATTTGCCAGGCTTTTAAATGTTTTTTTAAACCTTGATATTTTTCTGAAATATTATTATGTTACAAGTTACAGATTGATAGGTATGTGTAAGTGTGTGTCTGGAAAAGTAACACTGTATGCATTGAAACTACTTTAAAAGAGCAATTTGATGGCCATGAAAAGCCTTTAGGAGGAAAGCCTTGGACATGTTGCTTAGTTTCCTTCTGTTTTCCTTCTCAGCTTCCATGATGATTGAAGATACAAAATTAACATTGAAAAGGTACCTGAATGCTACAGCACTAAGGAAAAGGCTCCGAATTCACACCATCTTGCGGCACATGAATCACATGAGGTATCTTCTGAGTTTCAATTACTAACTTCAGGAGCAGACGCAATTGCACAGAATTTGCCCCCCACACCTGATTTCAACTGACAGCACAAAAAAGGTAGGAATCCTGAAATTCCTTGGCCAACTTTAGAAGATCCTTTGTCTCTCCTAGGGTTTTCCAACTGTCCCATTTCTCCTTCTGAGCCATCTGTAGGGCCCAGAATATTAATTGCTTGAATATAAAATGTAATTCAGAAGATACGAAAAGACAAGATATCATGAGCCTGCTCTGAGTCACACTCCTCACTCCAATTGAAGGAACGCAATTTACATTATGTCCCTTGGTTTATACTTGAATTGCAAAGTATAACATGAATGAACAAAGAGAAAAGCCCTTGATGTTAAAAGAAAACACAACTACATGACTTATTTTGTCTGAATCATTAGGGGTTAAAATCTATCTGGTCACATACATTCATAATACTGGATCTCAGAAACAGATTCTGTGTGTAATAAGGTGAGAGACAACTGGGTCAGGAGTTTGTCGAGGGAGGGCAGAAACTTAGATGTTGCTGCTTATTAAATCTCTGGGCCAGTTTTCACGAGGCTCTGTACCAGTCACTATATCAGAAATACGCTGGGGAAAAGCGCAGGCACAAGGACAGTATTGCTGCAGCTTGCAAGTGTATCCTGTTATCTGTTCTTCCTGGAAAAACGTTCAACAAAGGATTAAAATAGCAATAAGGGTTGCTGGGCCCAGGAAACCATACAGTCTTCTGTTAGCTTCCTACACGATAACTGAAGAGAGGAGACTTCCCCTGAAGTTTTGCATCCTGCTGCTACTTATATAATTTCTCTCTGCGTCAGTGAGGCTTTATGGCTTTCCTAAAGCATTTCTGCCTGTTATTCAGCACCAGTGAGGGTGCTGAGGATGTAGTGGGGTAGAAAGGCTCCTTCAGGAATGGAGCAGAGAGCCTGCTAAATCGGAGCTGCTGTCAAGTGGTACTGATCCACAAGCTCAGCCTGTGCTTGAAGGCTCTGGTGCAGTAGGGCACCGGGTAATTTCTGCCCCGCCAAACTGCACACCAGAGAGCAGGACAGGCTGGGAAGTAACACCCTGCAGCAGTATGGGCAGCGCCTGACTCAATGGAAAACATGCCGAGAAACTGAAACATTATCTATTTTACTCATATTGGGGATGATAAACTCTACTTGCAGTGTCTGATTGTGCAGCCCTGTTGTGCTGGTGGGTCAGCCCTGCAAGTCAGAGGCAATTAAGGATATTTTGTGTAAGGGGGATTTAGCATCCCTTGTGCAGATCTGGAGAGCAGCCCTTTAAAAAAGATCATCAAGACAAATTTCCCTCTTTCTTTTAAGGAAATAAAATCCAGACAACAAAACTTGATTTTGTTTCCAGGTTCCCTGACTGACCAACCAAACAGGGAAGACTGACAGAGCCTTCAGTGGCAGACAAAGGCAGATGTGGACATGGGGAGATCCGATTGACAAAAGGTATCTACCACCAGAACTCGTTCGGAAATTACAGCAAGATAAGCATTTTAAGGAGGGACCTGAAGAGAGACTGGCTGAAGCTCTACCACAGACAGCAATATGGGGAGGAAGCAGAAAGGTGGTACCAGAAGAAAGACAAAGGACAGGTAGATGTTTAGGCAGAAGAAGGGTAGGCAGAAACAAAGAGGGTAGTGCTAGCAAGGATAAAAGGTATCCTCGCTATCTTGGTGTAAAAGGTCCCTCCATATGTCAGTAAAGAGGTTACAAAGGGTAGAGCAAAGGCTTAGATGAGAGAGAGAGGGAAAGAAGCTATGGAAAAGACTACTCTAGATGAAGCAAGAGATGGTCACATCACAGGACGGGTGGTATAACGATGCAAGGTCAAGGAACAGGGTTTTGACATGTTGTGAAAGAAGAGCAATACATCTGGGAACTAGCTGAATGTATAGAAAGATCTGAGATCACTAGTCGAATGTGACTCAAGATAATGATGATTTAGTAAATGCTTACATTTAGTAAGTGAACAAGTACAAAATGTCAGAGACCTGTATGAGCTCCATTCACTGCTTAATGACCCAACTGTCCCTACTGTGACCTGGCTAAAGGTTAACCGTGCGGTCAGAGCGTGGGTTTGGTGTCGCCTGTTGACTTAAGCGGTTAAGACTGATCTTCCTAAGGGTGTTTACATAGTTTGTATAGCACGTAATAGGCTTCCCTTTGTGTTTATTCCATTTAATTTTGCTGTCACAGACTCCCTTACCAGCTCTCTTAAAAACCGGGAGGGGAACTGAAAAACTAGTTACTAATTGTGGAAAATGCTCACCTTAGAGAGTTCTCAGTGCTCTTAAAGTAAACGTTATTACATTGAAAGCTATGTAAAATCTCAGGAGGTCTAGAGACGTTTTCTCTGAAATTCTCTGCTCCAGTTTCAGGCAACAAGTCTATTAATGCCTCAAAGGCAGAAAGGAGGGAAGGGAGTGAGCATGCTCCAGCCATTTGAAATGACCTCTCTGTTGGGGATCAGAGTAGCATCTCTGGTTGTCTCCTCCATCAAGGTGCACCAGACCCACTTGCAATTACCCTGACACATGCAGAGCTATCGCACAGCTTCCCTCTGATATACAGCACATAAAAATACATATGAATACAGCAACTGGGTTGCTCTGAAGTCCTGCTGGTGTTAGTATTTTTATCATGCTTTTTTGGGGCACAGTGCCAGTAAACTGACAAGGTATTGACACATCTGCCTTGGGAGATTAGTACCTACACAGCCAAAAACATGTAACAGATCTGGCAACATCCATGCAAATTATTCACCACTTTCCCCCAGGAGGCCCTGAACTCTGCTGTTTTGCCTAACAAACACTGGGAGGCTGCTGGTTTCACACCAGCCTCTTTCCCCAGCACTGTCCCAGTGGCATCAGCCGCTCCAAGAATCAGCCCTGCCCGCCACGACCCGACACCAAACCGCAGCCGCCCTCCTCTCCCAGAGACAGCGTGAGGAGCCTCCTCGTTCCTGCCGGGTAGGTTTGCCTTGCCGCTCATGAGCACTGGCTATCTGATTTTCCCATGCAAAATGCTACATTCCTGCCCTCTAGATTCATGTATCTTGCAGTTTCATTTCTTTAAATTGAACAGAACTGTTTAAAAACGAAGCTTCTGTAATCCCACCGTAAAACCTGCCTTCGAATGGGGGTTAACTTTGCAGTTACCCAAAGCTCTCTGAGGAATGTCACAATTCAGATGTGGGAAACCAAAAAACAAGCTGTGAAGGTCCTCTCCACATCCCACAGAAAAAAATCCCTCAAAAATACCACAAGAGCAAAAGCGTTAACAGTCTTCCACAGCCGCCCAGATAACCTCAGCTCTGCCTTCACAAAGAGACCACAAATGATAAAATAGCATGCTCCTCCACTGCAAATGCTACGCCAGTGGCTGTACAAATACACGCTGACCCCGGTGCAGACAGCTAATGTCCAATAGGATAGTTAACCCAATACTTTACTCTTATGCCTAAGTACGCAGAATGAGATTTCAGCAGAAAGTTGGCCGTAGCCTGAACGATTAACTGCTTCGTAATTACAAGAAGTAATCGTTATTTATGAACGGAGGTGAAACTGCTCAGCAGCATCATTAAGTCTCCTGCCAGGCAGCATGCAAACTCGATGCCGCTAAAGACAGCGCAACGCCACTGGCCAAGACCGCGGCTGTTACGTTTCACCCCGACAGCGAGAGGTTTTCCCGGCAAGGACAGAGAATCGGGTTCCCCGCAACACAAGCGCCACGTACCGCTGGGGTTTAGATCTGGGTTCCACTCGCTAAACGGTGCTGGTGTGGGGGGGGAGGCGGGAGACCTCGGCTGGGGCTCGGGGCCCGGCCCGCCGCGGCGGCACCTCTAGGGGCTGCTGTGCTGCCGCCAGTGCGGGGAGCGGGGCAAAGCGGCGAAGTTGTGGGAGAGCGCGGCCGCCGGATCCCCCCCCACACACACCCCCCCACACACACACCCCCCTCCCGCCGGCACCGAGGCGGGGGACGGGCTCCTCACCGATGTGCTCGATGAGGTTCCTCCAGGAGTCGGCGGTCATGGGGTGGGCGGGCGGCGGCCCCTCGGCGGCGGCGGGGCTCTCCTCAGCGGCGGCGGGGGGCTCCCTGTGGGGGAGGCGGAGGCACCCTCAGCCGCGAGCGGGCGGCCCCCTCCGCGGCCCCTCGCGCCCTCCCCGCCCCCCCCCCCCCCGCTCACCTGCCGGGCTGTCCCGCCGAGTCCTGGTCGAGGGCGCAGGCGGCGCTGAGGGCCGCGGCCAGCAGCTCCATGGCCGGCGGCGGCAGGCGGCTGCCGAGCAGCTCCGGCGGCGGCAGCGGCGGCGGCGCGGGGCTGGGGGAGCCCGGGCGGTTGCCACGGTAACGGGGGTAGGAAGGCAGCAGCCTGCAGCGGGAGGGAGAGGGGAGCTGTGGCCGCCCCCGGAGCCCCCCGAGACCCTCGGAGCCTCCCTTCAGTCTTCCCCGTCAGGCGTCCTCGGGGGCTCTCCGCCCAAATCCCCTCAGAGCCTTCCCAAACCTCCTCAGAACCCCCTCGGGCTTTCCTCCCCACAGAGCCCCCTGAGCCTCCCCTTCGACCCCCCTCAGGCATCCCCACAGAGACCCCTCAAAATCTCCTCAGAGCCTCTCCCCGGGCTCCCACACGCCCCTTGCAGCCCCTCTCCGTGTTCCCAGACCTCCGAGGCCCCACAGAGCTCAGCCAAATCCCCGCGGAGCCCCCTCAGCCTTCCCTGAATCCCTCCCGAGACCCTTCAGAGCCCGTTAGAGCTTCCCCAACCCCGCTCCCTCAGAGCCCCGCTGCAGTCCCTTCGGAGCCCAAACTGAGCCCTCAGAGCTCCCACCCGACCCCCGAGTCCCCCCACAGCTCCTCGGATCCCCCCCTGCACACCCCCAAAATACTTTCGGAGCCCGCACTGATCCCCTCAGGTTCCTTCCCCTCCCCCGCCCCCCCCCCCCCCCGCCATAAACTCCCCTCTCTGAGTCCCTGACCCCCTGCAGCCCCCCCACCCCGTGCCCGGCACCCCTGCCCTCAGAGACCTCAGCCCCCCAGCTCCCCTCCAGCGCTCCAACGCAGGTCCCTCCTCCGCTGGGAGGCTGACTCCCTCCTCCCCAAGGGCCCCCCCCCAAAAGTCAGCAATCCCTTCCCCAGGGCCCCCCCACCTTCACCGGCACCCCTACCTCCATTCCCCCTGCTCTCCTGCAGAGAGGCTCCTTCCTCAGATGCAGGGAAGCCCCTTCTCCATCCCCTCCCTCCCTCCCCAGCAAGGCACCCTCCCCCAGCAAGCACCCACACACCCCATCCCACCCCATGCACCAGCCCGGGCTCCATGCACAGCCACCCCGCAGCGGGAGGGGGGTCCTGCCCTGGCACTGACCTCTCCTCCCTCAGACCCGGGGCATAGCGCTGCCCCCCATCCCCTGCACCTCCCTGCCTATGTGCGGCTGGCGCCGGCTTGGAGGGACGAAAAGGGGTGGGAGAGGGGGGCTCTCCTGAACTGCTTCCAGAGCGGGTGCATATGGTGCATTTCTTCTCCGGGAAGGAAACCCTGAGATGGAGGAATGTAACTGGGAAACTCAGCCTAATCCCTCCTGCCGGGAACTGTGCCCCTGATTGCCCCACAGGATTGACCGCTATCCTCGCCTCCTCCGGCAGGGCTTCGCACCCGCTCGGTCATTTCCCCCGTCTCCCCTTCCTTAGCGTCGCTACTTGCATAAGGATATATTGTCTCGTTTAGGCAGTAAGTATCTCAGTACTCAATGATCTATATCTGTCTTCGTTCAGGTAATTGTTTTTCCGCCTCAGGGGTAAATCCTCTTGAGCTCCTGAGTATGGCTACACCCTCGGATCGGTTCGAGTGCTTGCGGACAGGTTGGGTGCAGCTCTTCCCTACACGTTAGCAACCCTCAGCAATAAAAAAACGTCATCTGCACCACATTGCAATCGAGGAGTTAACAGTCAGAGAACGCTCAGTTATCCCTCACGTTCGCTTGCTCCCTGTTGCATAAATAACCATGTTTTTTTCTGTACGTGATAACATAATTTATGCAACAACACAAAATCTGTGTGTTGGTCTGTATGTGTACAATGCCTTCCTTTTTATCATTTTTATATTGTATTATTTGCTAAATGATATATCAGGATAGCTTCCAATTAGCACATGACTATACATTCAGAAAAACTCCTTTGGCTTATGTGAACTAGATCTCAATCTGGCACACTGGAGAGCTCGGTCCTTAAGTCATTAAGAGGCAGAACAGGAGAGAAAAACAGCTGGAAATGTTGTTGAGGACTCAGAGAAGGCTGTCGGTCCAGTCCAGGTCCAGTCCCGGACTGGGAGGTCAGAAGGACCAGACAACCAACTGAGAGGAAAAATCAGGGTGAGGGTGAGAGCTGGAGCCTGTTTTGCACTTGGAGAGGAGGAGGAGGAGGACAGCCTGACAGCTGGGGCTGTGCGGGAGGAGATTGTCACGGGGTAAATGGTCAATATGGGATGAAAATGAGTTATCAGCCATTAAAAACTGGGGCTAGGGGGTTGGGGGAGACAGGTGAGCGAGGGGGCAGCCGAAACCTTGTAGAAGGGATAAAGCGGCAAGAGACTATCTGAAGCTCTGCCTAATGACTGACGTTTTGGTGGCTTACTGCCAGGGCAAGAATATTGTCAAGGGTTTTAGTAAGTGGGTGGGATGCTAAAAAGCTTCTTTCTTAGAAAAGGGGGAGGGAGGAGATAAACTGTACTGAGACTCTTCGTTATCTTGAATTCTGGAAAAGCAGTGATGCTGTTTACTATTTTCTAAAGGGAAGGACCAAGAGCAGTGGGGAGTTCTCCCTAGTATGCAAAGGGAAGTCAGTGCATAGGCTCTTACTGACACTGCTAGCATCAATATGTATCTAAATATAACTGTTGGGTGTATCTACTAAAAAAAAAAAAAAAATCCTTCATAAATATGCTTTAACAGCTTAACAGATTCTAACCCCTCATCTTGCTTCACTCCCAAGGGTTAAATCTGTTGCAAAATGAAACTTCTTTTTACAAAAAGCGTCTGGGTCATGGTATGAAAAACATTCAAAAAATAGAGAGCATCTTTTCAGGATCCCATAACTGTCTGGTAATTCGATCCTGCCTGTCTTCCTTTTTCCTTCAAATTTTGCAAAATAATTTTGCTTTTGGTCTGAGACGAAAGCCCCAAAATATCACTAAAAGTAATAAAGATGATAAAAATGTTGGAAGCTCTGAAGAGGTGAGAACACCAGCTGAGAGTGCAATGCTCCCTGTGGCCATTGGAGGCCACAGCTTGTATTTTGGTGTCTCAAAGATCTGTTCTACTGTGTAGCAGTTACTTTTCCTTCCTTTAGAACTTTTTTGAATTGTGATTTGGTCTTTCAAAAATGTTGCTCTTTCTTCCTTTCCAGGCTTATTTTCGTACTTCTCGTGTTGACATACAGAGAATGTCCATAAACAGAAATGCTTGAGAAATACTTTTTCTCCCAAGTGAGGTAACAGAGTGTTCCCAGCGCTCTTGGGACTGTAGTAAAAAATAATATTTAGTGAGAAGAAGATATTTTTGTCCTAAAAAACTTGTCAGGATTGTCTTAATCTTGCTTTTATGTTTGGGGACAAACCAGAAAGCTTTCAAAGTTTGTGATGAAAAATGAAGGCAAGCAAGCAAGCGATTCTCTCACAGCGGTCTGGTGGCTGGGATGTTCATGCTGGGTGTGGGGGATCCAGGTCAGCGTCACGGCTGTGTCATTCCCTCACATCCCACACGTTACTGCCTGTTCCAGGGTGGATCAGTCTCTCTTCCCGGAGCCGCTCTGATTTCTCTGGTCACTGGGAAAGGTGCTTGAGCCTTATTCACCAGATACCACTTTAGGTCAGTCGATACTGGACTACTTCTGCTAAGCAGAATAGCTCTGGCATAACTGCCTCTTTCTTCCTCCCTACTTCCACAATTGTTAGAGGACTTTGTGTGCAGTTTAAACTGGCCTAGCTACTCAATTCCACTTTTCACTTGACTCCCTGAGGCAGATTTCTACCTCCGCTTTTATGTCAGCACTCACTCTCATCTCATTCTTGGTGAGCAGGTTCAGGCAGCTAAACTGGTGGAAATTTTTTTTTTTTTTTTTTTTTTTTGTGGAACTAGTTTTGTGTGTGTCTGGATTGTCTCACTACAGGATGAGCTCAGTGCCAGTGCCAGCGTAGTGGAGGTGGCAGACATGCAGATGGATGGCAGGACCACAGCAATGCTGTCTTGGATTATTTTACACTGTTGTGGAACTGCAAGCTCAAGCAGAAGTTCCTACTCCACCCAACCTTAACCATCCGGGTAGGAGTTTGGAGGAAATTTCTCTCTCTCTCTCACTGTATCAACAATGAATTTGATCCGGAGCCTAAAAAACTTTCCCCCTTATCATCAAAATCAGTAAAATCTGATTATGACAAATCAGTTTTCTGACCAACCCCCCTGTATTTAATCTTAAAATTCCCTGCTTAGTTGTAGAGGGAAAGAGACAATCTGACTACTAGAACAACACACATTAAAGCAACTAGTTAAAAATCCTACCCCAGCACCAGACAAATGCCGCTGCGTGCCCTGTGCTCATGTTGGTGACAGAAGTCATGCGATGCCCTGACAGACGGAAGCCCAGTTTTGTCTCAGGAATTCTTAGGATCCCCAAGCACACGGGCAGTGGAGGTGACATGGAGCATGACCATGGTTCAGCTCCCTGTGGGCAAAGGAGAGAGGGTTTGAGCTTGCATACATTCCACAAAGAAGGGGCTCATGTCGTTGCAGACTGTTCCCAGCTTCACTCTACTGCTGTTGGAAAATATTTTAAATGTTGGCTAACCTGGTCCCTAGTTGCATTAAAAATGTGATAAATGGTGTGAGTTTATAATTAGATTATTACAATTATCTCATTTAAGTTATGTTTGGGGGATGAACTTCCAATCCTGGCTTGTATTTTCAGGCACTAGTAATTTTGAAAAATGATTAATCATTTGAATTAAGATTTCTTATGTGCATCTAAATCTCAAAAGCAATCCTTAGAATAAAGATGTGTAAAGAGCTTGTTTCCAAATGACATTGAAATGCATTTTTTTTAATGTTCCCTTATAGCAGTTTTTAGAAATTAGACCTCCTCTTCCAGAAACTAAAAAGAGAAGAGGCAGTCCGGCAGATCTTATTCATGAAAAATTTCCCAAACCCTTCTAGTCAGTGGGAGTTTCACACCAAGAAAGGCCACAAGATGAGGTAAGAAGCACTGTTTTAATCTGAGCTAACCAAATATGTGAAGTGTGAAGTTAGTAATAGACTTGAATAACGTTATACCTAGTCAAGGATATTTTCATACGTCAGGTTCATTCAGGTTCTCTCTATTCATGTGTGGCTTATAGCAACGTTTTTTGCAATGGGTGTGTCTGCAGTTTTTATTCCTGTTTTTTGATTTTTTAGTGGGAGATAAGTGGAACTCCTCATCCCTAATATTTTTAGATTTTAAAGGTCAAGAGCACATCTGTTCTCCAGAACCTCCTTAAGCTTTCATAAAAATACCTTAATTATATCTGTTGGGGCTGGCAGCCTTACCGATAACTAAAAATGCTCAGAACTTCCTTATTGTGAGATGCTTACTGTTAGGTACTTTTGACCTTTCGATGCTCAGAATCATCAGGGTTACATTTTTACTTACTGACCATTTGCCACAGACAGGTTATTTTTTTAGATATATTAAAAGCAATTATCAATTTCTTAGGCTTAGGAAAATATTATTGGATCCCTATTATAGGCAAACAGAAAACCTGTTGTTATATCCTTTAAGAAGCTTTGGTTTCTGTTAAAATGGAAGTTGAAATTTGGGGTTTGCCAGGGCTTCATCTTTGCCACACTTACAAAAATACATAGAAATTACAGGCCCTTTACCACTCTCTACAATACACACAAACTTAAGACTTAGATTTTAGCATCTAAAATCCCTGAGCTGCTGCCCATGGTGAGAAAGTGCCCTGCTCAGGGCTGAGAGAATCATTTCTGCTACTGCAGCTGTAGAAATACTGCCTGGTCCAGTTCTAGGCACTGTGAATAAAGGCCATTTCTGCTGTATCCTCAGTGATCCTTGTGCTGGGTGCAGGCAGCATGGTGAGAAAACTACTTGACTGAAAAAGAGAGGGAGCAAGACTCAAGCATGGAGAGGGAGGGGTCTACTTCTGGACCAGGTGACTGCTGTGAAGAGGGGAACTCACCCACAGCTGGGTGCTTCAGGAAATGGTGAGTTGGAAAAGGCTGTAAAATGTAACACTGGAGCTAGGAGGAGGAGTGGGAGACTCAGATTGTGTGAGGAGCCAAAGGGTGAAGAGCCTGGGGAACAGCAGGACACTGAGCTATGAGCCGCAGGAGGGAAGAGAGAGGAATAATGTGTCTGGGAAACAGTAGGCTGAGGAAATCGTGTGGAGAATTACAAGTTGAAGCTGATAGAAAAGGAGTGAAACAAAGATTAGTGGAGGACCTAAGAGTCAGGGTTGGCGCAGATGACATTCGGGGAGCTGGAGGGCAAAGCCTTGACCTTGCCAGGTAATAAAAGCATGACTGGGCTGAAAAAACTGACAAGCAGAGACTGGGTGGAATAGGTGGGCAGACTGGGATTGGGATCTCCATTTGCTGCATGCTGGAAAGATACTTAATTAGAATTGAGTGTGTTATTGCTTGCTATTCTGTATGATCCTATGAAATAAGAGATTTTGATAGTAATATCATTTTAATACCTACAGTGGCAATTCTTACTGAAAATTTATTAGTTTGAAAAAATCTTCTCACTGAAAATACTGTTGCTCTTAGACTTTTAAAGATTCAGATTGTACAGAAAGAAGGATAGGGAAAAAAACCCAATATTTATCTATCTCTAAAAGAGCAAAAAATTGTTGTAGCGTGACAAAATATAAAGGTTTGGTCAACGTGTGTTTGCACCAGCTATTCCTGACTTCACCACTTGCAAATTGAAGGACTATTGACAGCACAGAGAAGAGGTGAGTATCAGAAATTTATTTCATAAGTAGAAAGAAACTGCTCAAGTATGGTATAGGACCTTTTGCGATAGAGGTCCCAGCCTCCCTAGAGGTTTTCCCTGCTTTTCTGGTTACGACAGGCTATAAAAGCAGTGCCCCCTGCTGCCCAGGACAAATAGTGCTGTGCTGAGGTATGCTAACCCAAATTCACACAAGCATCCTTCAGAGTGCTATGCCATTTTACATGCGTACTGTTTCTTTCTAATACATGTGTTTGCATGAATTCAAAGACGTTAGATTCTCTCTTGCTGCTGAAGGTGACTCAGTATTTGCTGTTGTAGTACTTCTATTCTTTGAGCTCAGATCAAACATAATAAAATGATTTTTAAGATGATCCTCATTTCTCTGAATTGGTGGTCTCATAACCAGCATAAAGAAATAGTTTGCTCTGCACTGGTAGACCAATGACCTTGCAGTGAGCTTTGCACAGAAAATTTCACACTGCGTTTCTCTTCCACTCTGTCTAGTGGCCCATAATAAAGACATACCATTTTTGGAGTCTGACTCAGTGGAAAGTGGTAGGTAAATAATACAGTCATGCTGCTAAAACATCGGCATTGTAGTAGAAATGAAGAGAAGTCAACATCCTATTAGCTGGTAATATAGGGTAGACACTGATTAGTGAACCTCCTTTCTAGGGTTTGAAATGACTAATTTTCTGGTCTCTGTGGGAGCCGCTTTCAGCTGAGGCTGACAGCTGTGGATGGCCACCCTGGGTGGATGTTTTTCTGTGATGTTCTGTGGCAGCAACTGCTGCCACTCTGAAGCTGGAAGGACTGATCACAGTGGGAAAAAGCAGCTTTTCTTGAGTTCAGTTCCTTCCAGGTCTTTGGCCCTGGCTACTCTGAAAAATAGAAGTTGTGCTAGAAGCTCAGCACTGAAACATTCAGGGCAAGTCAGCTGAGTTGTCAGGAAGCAGTTCATCATGCGAGGGGTTTGGATCTGTGTACAGTGCAGAAGACTGGGAGGGAGCCAGAGGATGTTGTGGAGAACTCTAGACTGCTTGGGGGGGTTGGGGAGGTGGGCCTGGGGATCACATAGGAGGAAGGTCATGGGAAGAAAATCATTTGAGAACAGTTAGGCATAAAAATGCTCTTAAGGAGTATCTTATGGAAAGCGTATGGCAGATTTTGGAACACCAGCAATAATGTCTGAGGTCATCTTGTTTTCAGACATCAATGTTCTGAGATCAGTGAGCTACTGTACTATTCTCAGAGCTTTGAATGACACACAGATTCAAGTCACCAGTGGGTTTAAAGGAGCCTATGGTGCTTTTCCTTAATCAGAGTGTTAAAGTCTGTACCCCACCAGAGCACAATGCAGGTAATGATTCCTTTTCCTGAGCCACTATGTTCCCCATCTGTGTTTTCTTCCTGTCCTAAATTATGTAGCATGGCTATATGTGAAGTGACATCCCTACCTGTGCAGAACTCATTTGCGTCAGACCTGCTGGTTATATTCATGCAAGGAGAAGGGATTGTGCCTGCCCAGCCCTAGCATTTATATAGTTGCTGTAGGACGCTGCTGAACGTGAAGAAATGCAGCACTGGTGCCCCACTTGCCCTCGGGACTGTGGTGATTCACTCCTGAGAACCCCACGGACCTTCCCAGTGCTGGTCAGAGGTGCCTAACCTGTCCTTTCTGCAGAACTGCTAGCTTCTGCTTTCAGAAGCTGACAGGTACCAGTTTTATTCTTTTGGGGAGAGGTGAAATGCATTTCTTAAGAGCAGTGGTAATATTTTAGATGTCTTAACTGCACAGTGGCCTGTTTTCCCCATAGAAGGGGGAGAATAGTGATTACTGCAAATAATGGCAATATCCTTAGGCTCCTGCAGGCTTTCCACAATGCAGATTTCTAGTGGTTCTCTTATAAATTACAGCTAATCTTTTGGAGAAGGGAAGAGCAGGACATGAGCTCAGTTTGAGCTGTAACTCTGGTCTCATGCTCTGTCAGATTTCTCTGCTCAGTTGCAAGAGACGATGCCACTCAGCAGCATTGCCTGCTTTTAGCAGACACATGACTTAGAACCTGTACTGCCCTGTCAAGCTCTCTGCACAGCAGAACCTTTGATAAAAGTGACTCCCAGCACAGGCTCATTGTTTCCAGCTCCAGGGAAAATCAGAATTTGCACGTTTCAGAGCTGCCTAAGTGGCAGTGTCAGAATGTCAGACTGACAGCGGCGATTATGTCACAAGGAGAGGAAGACAGATGGGCTTGACATTGCAGCAGACCATAACTGTCTAGTTTCATATGCTCATTTTAATGCCAAAGGGCAATCAATTTTAGCCAGGGCAATTAATTTATTCAAATCCAACTTGACAGTTTGGCTAAATTTTTTTTACTGGAGTCCCCTCTGTAAGGAAAGGTGCCTGGAAAGGCACTAGGCATTACACCAACACAGCTGGGTGCAGTAATTAGGACCATGCAGTGCAGTATAATGCATGCCCCTTTAGAGGGCAAGTGTTTAGCACTTTCAGCTTGATCTTCTACAGCACAAGTAGGGACTATCTCATAGTTATACACACAGGAGATGAGGAACTGGAGAGGGAGTTTGGGAGAATACCTCACTCATATATTAGAAAACATAAGGCAAGGTAGCTGCTCCTCTCTCTGCCTGGCTGCAGTGGCATGAGAGCATGGATGAGAGTAAATTTATGGCATGTATGTACGTTTATGGGCTGTGGAATCAGGGCCTTTTGCTGGACCTAGGTCATTGAGGGATCTAAGCCAAAAAGGTCAACCCCACTGAAAGCCTCTGGTGCCTATCAGTTCTTCAAAGTAAACAGCAAACAGAAGGTCAGAATACTTTAGAAAGCATCTTTGTAGTTACTTCTTCAGCTATAAAATCCTGTTTTCCATGTGAGGTTGCATAACAGGCTTCAGGAGAGCCCTCTGGGAAGGCTGAGAATGGGATCACCCTTATGTTGGGATGTTCCACAAGGAAATGCCTGCAGGCTCTCCTTCTTCTCTCAACAAGCTGCTCAAGGCAGTCTGCCCTCTTTGCTTACACCGCTGGGTGATCCTGGATCACCTTCCCCTTTTTTCAGTCCTCCCCATCGTTGTCTTCTTCCCCCTTCTCCTTCACTGTCTTCTCCAGACTTATGCTGACAAGACCCTTTATACCCCAATGCTAGTACTAAACGATATATATCATTAAGACTGAGAACAGCACTACAAGTCAAGGTGAGAAGGCACGGATCAGAGCTATAGCTTAGTCCAGCCGTCCTTCCCAAAACAAGCAGTGTTCCTGTTGCCTTTGGTGTAGGCACTTGTTCTGACACCACACTGACTGTATTCTTCAGCACAGGCCCGCTTAACACCCTGTGTGTGCAATCCCTTACCTTTGGATCCATAGTTCGTTTACTGTTGTCTTATCAGAGTTTACTGGAGATGGCGATCCCTGACGAGATAAAGCATTCAGAGGCTCTTTGATGGGCTCGTTGTTTCTGAGGGAACCTGTGACATACGAGAAAGCCAAGAGGGTGTTAAAACGGTCGCTTTCTTAAGGGTCATCTTTACTTTTATTGTAGGTAGTGGTTTGCTTACACCAAAGGCAACAGGAAGATGACTCAAAGACGGATACATTTTAGCTTGGATTTTCAAACAAAAGTGAAGTGTCATCAGCTTGCATAGTGCAAGATTGTACAGCCTTTCTCACAGCTGCAAATGCAACTGAGAAAAGGTGAAGGTAGATATACAATATCAGTCCATATGTATGCAAATAGCACTTTCACCACTGAAAACTGGGTCCCAACATGAGTGATTTTCAGTGCAATTCTTTAAGCAGAAAAGGTTTAGCTGTGTGTGCCTGAGCATGCCAATATTTGGTTTCCCAAGTCAGGGCTTCATTACTGCTCTGCTCTCAGGCACACAGTAGATGTTCAGTTTACTGGATAAATCAAGGCTAGATTTGGGTGAGACAGGAGCTTTACTTTTAATTGCTTCTCCAATTTCCCTCAGATGAACCTCTGATCCTTTCACAGGGAGCCAAAGTTGTATTAAGTCCGTGGCTTACTACTGCAGTACTTGGCAGGAGAGGATGCATCTCACTTTTCAAATGAAACCTCCTGTTGTTTGAGGCCTGTTGATAAATGGCCTTGTTTTTTATTAGAAATACTTTGGTCTCAGTCATAATTCTGTTTGCATTTCCAACTGCTGACAGCACAGACAGGTCAATGCTCTGACTGAAGCCAGTTTCTGACACACCCTTTTAATCAATGCTACAGATTTTCAGAGGGAAAGGGTGAAATCCAGAATTTTAAAACTCCCTAAAACAGTGCCAAAGGCTAAAGGAATGCTAGTTTTAGTAATTCTCTTTGCCTTTTGAATACTTTAAACATTTTATCCTTCTGTCAGAGGAGATTGTTTAAAAAGACAAACTCTTTTTCCAGTTAAAGGAAAGTATCTATTATGTTTTACAGCTCCTAGGCTCTAAGTCAAAGCTAGGCTAATGCAAAGGGTGCCTATATAAAAGCCTTCCTCTCTACCGGATCTACATTCTTTTACATTATTTTTCATGTTCTTATTTCTCGAGTCTTTATTTTTCCTGCTTTGTATCCTACTCTGTATTTTCCCCTGTATCCTTCCCTCTCTTCCTTTCTTCTTCCCTTACCCTGTCCTCACCCCCAGTCATTCCCTAAGAAAAATGAGAACAGGTTAACATTTGAGCTTGAGTCATACTCTTGGATAGCTGCTGTTCAAATGGGTTTGAAGGCAAGATAAAAGAGCTCACCCATCCCTTGCTTCCATGCACGTCAGCAAATGCTGTCAGAAGAAGTTCCTGCTACAAATGAGGCTGGTGTAAGAGTCCAGTTTTCGGGTAGAGGGGATGGAATCAGTGGAGTAGAGGGAGAGGGTAGAAGAGCTGCTTACACAATCCTAGCTGAATTTAAAAGCCGTAGCTCTGAGCTGGACTTGCTACAGTCATACTGGAGAAAGAGCTATTGCTCCTAGCCCAGGTCTTGCTGTACAGACTGGAGAAAAGAAACGTTCCCAGTGTGTCCTGCTGAACAATTGCAGATATGGAAGAAAAAGCGCTGTTTGGAACAGATCCTGCTTCAGCAGTGGGTAACACAGAGAGGGGGGTGTGGGAGAGAAGCGCGCGTCAGCTTCTGTGGATGCTCTAACGAGCTTCTGAGAGAGAAGCCCTTCTTTTAGCTTGTCCTTCCTCAAAGACACTGGCTAGACAGGAGGGATGCCCTCCCGCGCCGTGGTCCCGGTGCCGTGACGCTGCAGATGTAGGAAGAAGGTGCGTCCTTCCGTGCTGGTCCTGCCGCAGTGGCCCCAGCAGGTAGCAGGGGAGAGGCCCACCTCAGCAGCAGCCGGGGAGCAGGAGAGAGGGCGAGTCTCCTCTGTGCTCGCTCTGCAGCAGCGCTCTGGGAAGGCGCTCAGGGGACGGCTCCGCTCTGGCCTTGCTGCTGCACTGGCAGCCTGGAGAGCAGCTCTGCTCTGGCAGAGACAACGCTCAGTTGATCCACAAACCTCATTGCAACAGTAGCAGAATATTAAACAGGAGCTCTTTGCTCTGCTGCTGTCTGCTTGGAAACTTGGAGAAGGGAGGGAGCTTTCCTTCTGGCCATGCCACAGGGTTGAATGGGCCTTTATACTGCTGAAATGGGGTGGCTGCCTTGGCGAGGCAGGCAGGAGACACCTATTTTCTTGGGGACATTTCCCAGACCTTCTTTATTTTGGGGTGGAGGATGTCTGCTCTTTGTTTTCTTAGAGACCTTGGTCTGCTTTCAGGGGCTGAGGCGGTGTGCTTCACTACTGCCTAACAAAGCAATAGCTTCCAGTGGCTTGCATAGCACTGAAACAGCAGGAGTGGTGGTGTATGTATCATTTTGACTCATGCATCTAGCTGAAATTCAGAGTCCAGTTCACTGTTTCTGTTAGATTGTAGTCTGAAAGTAGGATGGGTGTCTTTGCTGCGATTCCTTTTATTCACAAGGAGTTACAAAATTCAGTTGCTCTGAACAGCTGGGAGATGAAGCAAAGGACATGTTCTGTGTCCACAGATCCAGGTCTCTCATTTACCATTTTGATTAAAACTACTTCCAGTTTTTTCTTGCAGCCCCGTTTCCAGTGCTTCTGAGTATGTTGCAACAGCTCTTTTCCTGGCTCTCTCTTCAGCTCCTCATATCTTTCTCTCATTTCTTTCACAGACAGCTGCTCAGACAAGGTGCCAGCTCAGTGAAAGCCTGGCCTTGCAGTCATGCTCTTTACTTGTTCATACTCAGAGAAAGCCAACGCATTCCAGTTCTACTGAAGCCATGGCTGAGTGCATGTATGTTCTGGATGGTGTTCCTGTTATTTCAGCCTCCTAGTTCAAAGGGAGCTAAGGTGATTCTTACAGCTGTCTTCAGTGCAAGGTGGCAGCAACTGCATTTTCAGTCTTGCTCCCCTCGCATAATGATCCATTACAATTTCCATAGGCTTGGTCCCTAAACATACTGCTCTGCTTTTGCTGTTTCCTCTATATGCCGCTCAGCTTGCCATGCTTGCACAGATCTCACTACTTTTGAATATATCCTTTCTGTATGCTAAAGAAGTTCCTCCTTTGTTGACAGCTTCACGTCTTTCCCTGTTGAAATTATTTTTCTCTTGGAGAGCAGAGCGGTGGCAGAGCAGAGTCCCACATTCCTTTAGATTCTCTGCCACGAAGCATGTTTAAACATCCAACCATTTTGCATTTCCAGTCTGAGCAAAGAGGGATGGCAGCCCTCTGCCAGCTGTGCCATAGGGCAGGGATGTTCTGTAATGTGCTGACCGCTGAGCTGCTTTCTACCTTCCCTGTCCCTTTTCCAATCTCATCAGTTCCTATAGTTCCTAATCTGACTGGAAAAGGAATCAATGCTGTTTGGGTCAGTACTCACCTGTCGCATGCCCCATGTGCACTGCCTCTCTCGAAGTCTTTCTTCTCTCTCTGTTTGGCAGCCTCATGGACCGGTAGTACCTGGAATTTCTTTGAATGGCAATGTAATGTGTGTGTGAATCGCTCTCGTGGGTCAGTGGGTTAGCACCTTCTGACTCTTCCTCACTTTCAGAGACTGAACCTGACTCTGTCAGTACCTGCTGAGGAAGGCCCTGCCGGAGCCCTCGGGCGGAGGGCCTGTGGGCAGCATCTCTCCCCTGCCCATCCATGGCTTCCAGATCTTGTCTCTATGGCAACTGAGACGATGGATCAGCAGCAGAGCAGCAGGAGACAGGTAGCCTCCACATCTCCATCAGCTTTATCTGAGTTAGAGCTGGAGATGGACAAACAAAACACAACAAAATAGGAAAAGAGAGGGCAAAGTTCTGGTTAGTTCAGAGGCTGTAGTGCATCATCGGTTTCGGGTAACAGGGACCTTCCAGGATTTTTTTGTCTGAGATCATTCTGAGATCATCACCTTACAAGCCTTGTTCTAATGTCCTGAACGTTGCTTTGATGTGCTCAAGGCTGTGCTGCCATGACACATTGTAGTGCTACAGATGTTACTGGAAAAATGTCGTATTTGCTCATTTGATGACCACTCCCTTTTGTCACTGGTGAGCAGCAAATTACTAGTTGATTTACAGTGGATACAGATAATGGCCATGACCTTGTTTTTGCAGGTGAAAATTTTGTGGAATAGAAAGTAGAAGCTGAAGAGAAAGCTCTGTTAATCTGCCTATTATCTCTGTACTTCTCTCTGTAATATAAGAATTAATGCCTTTTACAGGGCTGGGTGCCTTCTAACACTCATTAACAACACTCATTCCCGCAGTGCGGGTAAGTGAAGAAAAATCCATAACTGGTGAGGATTGAAGGTAGAAGAGACAAGATTATGTAGCAGTGGAGAGTGCAGAGACTTTGTTTCCCAGAATTGCCCTCAAGTGCCAATGTACCCCCCCAGTGACACGGGGACATCAGCACAGGGGTCCCGCTCCTCTGTGTGTCGGTGTACGGACTGTGCCAGTAACCCCAAGCACTTTTAGGAGGCAGATCACCACAACAGCAAAACAGCAGCTGATCTTTCAGACTTTGCAAGACTGGGTAAAAATGCAAACTGATTACTTAAATGTTCATTGCTGGCTTGGTCTTGTTGAATTTTCACAGCTGTCAAAGCCTTTCTAAGTACATAATGTGATTTTGTGACTGATGGGGTTATCATGAATAGTAGAAAGAAATGCGGTATAGGAAATGTGAATATAAAATTGACAGTTCACTGAGAGAAGGGCATAAAATAGTGCTATGGATTAGTCATTAGATGCTGTTTTGAGAAGTTATACATATCACTGGTTTGTTACATTACAGTATATCAAATATACAAGATACTCTAGAAGGTAAGTCTCTCAATTTTTGTTCTGGGTCTTCTGCAATCTCTGAATCCATGTGTGCCACAAACCTTTTTCTTGCTTGCCCCCAGGGTCACTCCAGCTGACCCTGGGACATCAGGGACAGTTGGGACATCATCTGTGAATCCTCTGCTTTCCAAAATTTTTGAGGTCCCTGCGTTTTATCCTTCTGAAGGGAGGGTCACTACCTGAAATCATGAGCTGTACCTGAGTCGTTCTGCTTCCTGGCTCTATGGATGAGAAAGTCTGCTTTCTCCTTTCATAACCTGAACCACAGCATGCAGCTCACAGCTGCTAAATTTGGATCCTGACTTCAATTCTGCCAAGACTTTTGGACTGTTTGGAACTGGTGGTTGCTCTGGGACTGTTTCCAGTGTTACTGGAAGTGTATGAAGGACCCATTTGTTGGTTGTGGTGTTAAGTTTGGTTTGTAAATTACCCTGATGTATAGAGATTCACTAAGTCTGTTTCTGTTTCTGTGGCTCAGTGGGACAGTGAAATAAAAGCAGCTGCTGTTGGAGACAGCTTGAAAAGAAAGAAGCAGCTATTTCTTTTCCTGTGCCTTTCTTGCTGTCCCAAGACTAAAGCCCCAAAGTCTTTATCCCTGCAACCATGATGGAAGCATTTCTGTTAACTGGACCACAATTAATATTAACACCTATAACCCTTCCTAACCCTGAACTCTAACAATCACTTATTTTTTATTTATTTATTTTCTATAAACTGTTTTATGACTTGACATTCAAGAAGATGAACCTGTATCAATTTCCTCTATACCAAAGCTCCTATGTGCTTCAGGTGGCCACTTCTTGTCCACGTTACTCAATCTGGGGCAGCAACCTCTCTCTTTTGTGGCTTTTGCAACGCTGACATAGTTTGCAATGCTTAGCAAATAGCTGCTGTTTTTTTTCTAGAAAAATGAGTTAAAGTTTTCACAGGAGATGCTGACCAGCCAGGAGTAATTTCAAAACCATGTAAATCTCCAACAGAATCATTAGGCAAATAGGTGGGTGCGTGTGGGAGGGGGGGAGCGCATGGATGCATGGAGAAGACTTGTTTCCTCTTTCACATAACTGGTGAATATGAAAGTACATGAGTGCTGTTGTTTTACAAGAATACTTGGTAGAGAAGGAGCCTTCTGCATGGCTTAGGGAAACTCACTCAGCTGGGTTGCCCAAAGACATAACTGTGTTCAGTAGCCCTGTCAAGCCAGTGTAGTTATCTTTGCCAGATACACTTGTTTTGGTCCTTCAGAGGAATGTAGGGTGTACATGCTGAACAGTGAGCTTGCTGTCAGGCTACCAAACAGTCCCTAACAAACAAGTTATTTGAACCAGAAGTGAATATAGCAGTGGATGAGAGAAAGACTTCCGTGTTTTCTAGGAGAGGCAGGAGTGAGGGGGCACTTGTTTACTGTGGAGGCTATACACAGTATGTATTTTTTTTACTTTCTTCAATGAAGAGTTCGAGAACAGAATGTATTTCTGAAGGCAATGCTTCCAATTTCAGAACTGATACGCTAAGAAATTACTGAGAAACCATTTACTGATATGCCAATCAAATAGTCCTGGCTATTGCAGTTGCTTTAGGTGTCTTAAATAGGGAAGGATACATTCAAATTTAGTATTACATCATTTGATAGCAGTCAAACTGTTCACTGACAGAATGATTCAAGCAGGTGTGGACCATAACTATCCCTGTCTGAGTGTTTGTAGTGCATTTCTGAAGAAGGTATTCACCTCTGATAGTCACAGGTAGGTGGGTGTCAGGTCTTGCGTCAGGAGGAACCCATCCCAATATATTCACATGCCATCTTGAGATCACATGTCTTGCTGAAGCCTCACCACCTACCTGAACGTGCTTTGCAGGCAAATATACTTCCCCATAGCTCAAGAAGACAAAAGTAGCAGTCTGTAGGGAAAAAGCGAAAGATGACAACAGTAAAGCCAGTAAGTGATGCACATACAGCAACACTAGAGATATGCATTTTGACTCACATATCATTCAGCCTCCAGGAATTTGACTGTATAGAAATTTTACTTGCCAATATAAAAAAATGGCATTTACCAGCAATTGCCATGAAGTTGTACAAGAGCAGTTGAACTTGCGGCCACTAGGTA